GGGGTGTTCCGATTACAAATAAATATAGACAAAACAAGGATCAACGAAGACGTAGCAAATGCTTCGAGAATCATCGAAGAATTCCAGCAGCTGTGCAATAAAACAAAGGCCCTATCCCAGGAGACCCAGTGTCATCTTTTGTCCAAGCACTTAATTGAAAGAGAAAAAGAGATGCTTCTTGTGAAAGAGAGTATGCAAATAGCAGGAACCCGCAGGAAAAGAGGATTATTTGGAGAACTACTTACCTCAGTCTTTGGAGTAAACGACGAGGTATACAGAGACATCAGCAGCTTGCAGTCGAATCAAGATGAACTTATAAAGGCAGCCAACCATCAGAGCAAAGTAATGATCAGTGCCATTTCACAAATAAACGAGACAGAAGTTCGCATCCAACGTCAATTGGAACAGTTCAGAACAAAATTGAATCAAGGCATTGAGGCAGTAAATGCAATGAAAAACTGGTATAGCGCCGTCGATACCAACTCGTTGAATATTCATCTGTTGAGTGCATACAATCTAGCAAACAACTACCTCGACGAACTATGTGAGTACTACGAGAAACTCTTCAGAATCCTGTACAACAACGCAACACTGTATGAGTTATTAGCGCCAAAACACGTAAAGACAATCATCACAGAAGCAAACAAAAAACTACCCTCAAATCTGAAGATAGTACAAGCACCGATCACATTGACGAAGGTAGAAAAGGACGAGCAATCACTAAAAATATTTACATTTTTCATGATCGAAGATATTTCCAAGTTTGAAGTTCTGAAGATTGTGCCCACGCCACTAAAAGTAGAAAATGGGTCATATTGGACAATTGAAATTCCCAGTGAGATAGTAGCAGTGGACTACAATAATCAGCAATATTTCCAGCAAAGCGATCAAGAATTCACCTCATGCATATCGACATCACAAAACAAATATGTGTGCTCTCCGACAGCAGTGAAAAATATAGAGACCAATCCGAATTGCATAATTGACGAAATATATCAAAGATCGGAGTCAACTCGGTGCGGAGTCCGGAAGAATGGACTAACATCCATTGTTTGGAAGCAACTCTACATGCCTAATACATGGCTATTCATCACAAAAAATCCTACCAAAATAGCAGTGATATGCGAGGGAATCAGAGAAGACATTGCTCTGAACCAAAGTGGAATACTGCAAGTGGAACAAGATTGCATAGTCAAAACGAAACAAAACACTCTGACGACAAGACGAGTAAGCACCGCTCCAGTAATTGCGAGTTATTCCAAGGCGATTCTCATCAACATAACAGACGTCCCGCAAAATAACGAACCAGAACAACTCGAAGAAGAGCCAATTTTCAAAATCTCCGACAGCTTGAATACAGTGAGACTAAATGAAGAAAAGATTCGGGAACAGCTACAAACGGCAATTTGGAAAAACATACAAACCCACACATACGCCGCCACTAGAGTGTCAGCAGCAATAATTTTTGCGATATTATTATTAGTATGGGTCATTCAAAAACAAATAACGAACGCAACCCGACGCAGGCAGAGGAATAGGCCGGAGTCAGCAAAACAAACTGAAATGCTCGAGTTGCAGCCACTACGCAACCTAGACTCAGTCGAGACAGGGGAGAATGTTGAATCAACATAAATTAGAAATTTCAACATAAATTTTAATTTAATCTGAAATTTCTACATCATTATAAAATCCACAATTTATTAGGAAATAAGGCAAGGTAATTAAACCCATCGCAAACCTTGCCCAAAGTTACTAAAAAACCACGAATCGATGTTCACGGGTTTTTCACCTTAATTTCCGTTATGATACCGCGTAGCGCCAGTGTTTTAGATACAAAGTCAACACACCTTTAATTGTTATTAAGTTATGAAAAATATTGTAATTAATTATTATTAGTTATGATAAATATTGTTAGGTTCAAATTGAAATATTTAATATAAATAAGAATCAATTTGAATAATAAAGCCAGTATCAAACAATAATAGTTCCTACTCATTTAATTACACAAAGTAGCCATTTGTGATAATTATCCCCAAAGTTCTTCCCTAAGGGCTTTGTAGTCGTTATCTTGGTTCAAGATAACTAGTGACTTTCAGGCAATAATTCCTGGACGTCACGCACAGAGATACGGACCTTGGAGGCCTTACAACCCTCTAGTGAAGTACACAAAGGGCCCAACTCTGTTCAGTCAGAGCAAACTATCGATAGTACAATCGATAGTTACTATCGATGGGTAGGCCATTCTATCGATATCACTATCGATAGTTTTTTTTTTCGATAGTTTGTCAACCCTAATTCTTTTATCTGGGAACAATAGGGTACTTGCATGGAAAATTAAATTGATTATTGTTTATTGCAAACTGCAGGAAATCGAAAAAAAATCGTTACTTTTTTTTTATTCCGCCCAAATATGATTATTCCGGAAGTTATACAAATATATTAAGTTTTTTATATATAGATATACTGAGCATGTGCGACGTCACAACTCACAACGTATTATACCTAAGTTATGACGTCGGAAGGACATTTCAAAGCGTTGTATCTCCGTCAATTTTTGACTAACAAGAAAAAGAAAAAACACGTGTTGACTTATTTTTCATGGACTATCGAAATCAGCAATAAAAAAATTTAATGCAAGGGGCCTATTGTTTATTGTTTAATAATAAAATGGAATGTGCTTGAACATCTTTGCGCAAAAGCCCGCAACATTCGCGGGCTGCCGCGCCTGCCGCTCGCCTTGTTGCCTGCGATGCATTCGACGGTTGGGTATTATAAAATTATTTTGACGGCTAACTTAGAAGTTAACTTCTGGAGTCGTATTTTCGAATTCATTCGAGTACACTTCGTACACGAAATTTGACTGACAGCAATTCAAATTAAATGGGGAGCATTCGAAATCGTATCAAATTTTCGTATGCGAGAATATTCGAAAATACGACCCCTGGAATGACGTTACTTTCCATAGTAATTCCACAAGTTAACTTTCTGCTATCTGTCAATATAGTTTTATAATACCCGCCCTTAACCATTTTACTCTTCTCACTCTGTGATCACGTGACTATGAAACTGCTCTTTATCCGCTCCAACTCCGTTTTGCCAAGCCGAACTCACCTTATGGTTATTAGAAAGTTCTCGTGTCTCAGACGCTACGCTAATACGGTACTGCTAACAATACGGTATTTTACATGGTATTTTATAGTTCTCGGACACGAAGACGCAAAAATACTCTAATCCCTTTATATACCTTGCGTTCGGTATATTGCTCAAAGAGCAGAGCGTGCTGAGCGGAGCCGTAATCACGTGACCAGCGAGCGAACAGAGCAGTTGAACGCTATATAAAAGCGCCAGAAATTTTAATAAAGAACGCGAATGAGGCTGCACCGAGTACACTTTTTTAATAAACGAACGGTAAAGTCAAGCTCGGAGAACTCAGACCAAAATAACGAACGCACGGTCTGTTTACATTTTGATAGCTGAGTTGAGCTGAGTTGAGTGATCTAACCCAACTTTTTTTTGCTTGTTTTATAACTTTTATTTATCCTGAAGATTCCTGAGTTTCATTAATTTTCCCTTGGTGTTTTTTATGGAGGAATTATCAGAAGTTGTTCTTGCAGACGTAAATTGAGCGCAAACTAATTTTGACATAGCATAGCGTTAAGGTAAGGCATCCGCTAAGTCCCGTTAGGTAACGGGCTCCGCTAACGTACCGTAAGAACTGTCATACTTGTCAAATAGCGTTACGGTAATCGAAATTTGGACAGCACGAGAACTCTCTATACCTTGCGTTCGGTATTTTGCTCAAAGAGCAGAGCGTCCAGTGCGGAGCCGTAATCACGTGGCCATCGAGCGCACAGAGCAGTTAAACGCTGTATCAGAGGGCTCAAAATTTTAATAAACGAACATGAATGAGCCTGCATCGAGTAAACTTCTTAAGTAAACGAACAGTAAATTTATCCTCGGAGAACTCAATCAAAATTCCGAACGCACGGATTATCTGAAATATTACAGATCAGTTCAAGTTAGTGCGATACAAAGAAAAATCAAACGCAACTCGCAAGTTACTCCGGGATAAGGTGTTCTGGTGCTCGCTGCTTTAGCTTTAAGCCTAGTACTCATAACTGCGAAATTCGCATTTTTTTGACATTGCTTTGACAATTTGACGTTTGATACACGCATAAAACGTCAAATTGCCAACGCAATGTCAAAAAAATGCGAATTTCGCAGTTATGAGTACTAGGCTTTAGTTGTATTCCTTTCACACTTAGGAGGAGCTCCGGAACAGTTCCGGGGCTTCACGCGCTTATTCCTTTCGAAAAGTGTTTGTTGCACCACGCATATGTTCCCTGCAAATCGGGGGCGACTAACCGTGCGTTCGTTATTTTGGTCCGAGTTCTCCGAGCTTGACTTTACCGTTCGTTTATTTAAAAAGTGTACTCGGTGCAGCCTCATTCGCGTTCGTTTATTAAAATTTCTGGCACTTTTATAATGCGTTCAACTGCTCTGTTCGCTCACTGGTCACGTGATTACGGCTCCGCTCAGCACGCTCTGCTCTTTGAGCAAAATACCGAACGCAAAAGCACCGAAGCGAGTAGCACGAGTGTTTCAAGCTCTTGAAAGGAATACAACTTTTAGCAGCATAACCTGTAATAATAACGTCAAACTCACTGTATGTCAAACCTATATTTCCATTCACAGGGAGCGGCCTCTGTAGTAAACACAATAAACTTAAAATTGAAAATAAGAAGTTAGGATAAAAGGGGTTGATTGAGCTTATTCAAACCCTCAAATATCAAATCCCAATCGGTTATTTTTGGGATATCCGGTGCTGAGAAAAGGGATCTAAGATCTGGAAATAAGGACCAGAATCCAAAACAAGAAAAAAAAATTAATTCGCTGCTTAGCAATTTTTTTGATAGAATGCGCTGTACATAAAAAAGTGTGGCCAAGCGTCGAAGGAAGCAGCGACGCTGACGGAGACGTCACCAAATGAATTCCGAGCAGAGCTTCTACAAAAATACAGGCCGAGGCTGATAACATATTGATTTTTCAAAACGTTTGTTGAACCAATCACAGAGTTAGAACTATTTTTAAAGGGTGAGGTTGTCTGGTTTTTCTGAGCTAGTGCAAATTATCTAAATGTGAAGTGATAGTTGGTTCATATATTTTTAGCGAGCGAAAGCTCGCTGGATTGGCTGATGCAGGTGGCTACACTTTTCCGCGAGTCTACCACATTGCTGGGGGAGACTATGGAATCGGGCGGAGGTGGAAGTGGACCACCACCGGACACTTCGGGTCCTCCAGGACAATTGTCTTATGACAATTACAACCATCCAGTTAATTATCCTCCGCACAAGTACAAGCTGTAAGTATTTATTTTAATTCGATTATACACCCCCTTATTGCATAGCACGCATTGTGATCACATGTAAACAATCGAATTTCAATTGATATTTCATAACACAAGACAAGGTCTAGTCTAGCAATAGCGACGTAGTGTGTAGTAGTGGTGTTGCAGCATTCGTTTCGAGCTTGATTGGGAAATAAAATGTCAGAACGTCGGATAAATGTACCAATGTCCTAAATAGTTGATTTACTTAATCTGTTTTTAGTTTTTCAAATTGCCACACTTTTTATCTCAATGAGACATCAAATTTCATTATTCTGTTCTGCTACCTACATATCCCAGTTTGAGTTCGGACAGCAATGACAGGATCAATATAAAATTGTAGAAAAATAAACATTTACAGAGCATCCGTCCCTCTTTTTCTGTTGGATTTACTCTTTTATTTCATTTTATATATACATATATATTTATTATATATTAAAAAAATTTATTCAATAGTTAATATTGATTGTTATATTTCCCTATTAAAATAATCACTAATTACATTATAATTTACTATTATTAAGCACAGTTTTTGTCAGCTGATTTGATGCAATGATAACAATTAGGTATTCACCTTAGATCATTTTAGTATTAGTCCCTGATTTTAGCGACCTATAATAATTGACTTGAGAATTGACTTTTAGGTTATGAGTTAATGGTAATACTAATACTGCCATGAAAGAATTGAAAGACCTCATAGGTACTTACTCAAGAAATTGAGAACCTACTGATTCTTTTTGTTTTTTAATTTTGTTACGATGATTATTTTTCTCATTGCACCAATTCCAATTTTGTATTGCGGTACCTAGGTAGTTATTGGTTAATAATTTTAAACAATTGAATAATTCGGAAACCATTCAAAGGTGGATGAAAGTCGCACTCTGCTGTAAGCTATTGTGATGAAACTTTCATCCCTTTGAGGAAGCATCATTGTTTGAATAACAAAAAAATTGGTAAATAGTGAAATGGAAAAAAAATAGATCCCATCATTTTCTTCTTTTATTCCCTAGCGAGTGCCCGAGTTTATGCAAATTCTGCTATCATTCTCAAAGGGGGCAACATTAAATTTTTATTACAATATAGGCTCGATTATAGGTATCTACTTAATTTATTTATATTTTTGCATTTTTTCCTCACTTTATATTAAAAGAGTGTTTATTGATATAAACCTCGATACTCACCTCGATATAAACCCTTTTTGAAAATAATGCATTTTTTTTATTTTTCTTTCCTCATCAGTTTGGCTGATTTGTTGATTTTTTTTATTGTTTACTATTTTTTTTAATATGTAGGTAAATCACCACTATATGAGTTTGCATTGAAGAGGAGTTTTGTTTGACTATGGATAGGATCGCTAATCTGGCTGACTAGCAGTGTTGCTTGTTCGATCAATACAGTAGTGTGCTCATTTGTATTGCTCTTCTTTTTCTAGTCCAAACAAATTGGAGCAGAAGAAGGGCATTCGCTTACCTCATGTAATAGTAGTGAACCAAGTAGTGAACATGCTTTATTGTCCAGAGATTCAGTCTCAGAAACCAATGTTAACCAAGCGAACACATTGAACAATAAATTCAAATTTATTTCCAAATAATTACAATAGTGTTAGTTAACATTAGATAAGTATAAATTACACCTATAAATAAATTAGGCACCTAGATGACCAAGTAGGTGACTTAACACCTGTGTTTATAGTCCAGTAAAGGACCCCGCACACCTTATAAGGAATTTTGGCGATCAGTCGATTTTTTTCAAATTTTGATATGTTGTAGATGATTTATTTCTCAACAACCTTCGAATGAGACGAAATCTTATAGGTATTATGGTCTTTGAGATATGAGCATTGAAAGATGAACTTTTTTGTGACTTTTTGTGTGGAGAGTATACGAAATACTGGTGTTGATCAGTCAAAATATTGACAGGTTCACATATTTTACGTCAGTAACAAATTAATGTCAACATAGGCTAAGGCCGGGACCGCACTGGGGTCAATAGTGGCGCCAGTGCGTTCCTGGCCTTAGCCCATGTTGACATTTGTTAGTGACGTCTTTCTGGTCATCTTACTCCACTTTTTACATATTTGAGGCGAAATTTTTAAATTTGCCGCGATGACTGTGGTTTTTTTTGTTGATGGGTATGCTGAATCGATTCCACGTAACATTTTTTTTGATATCTTGATAATAAAATATTTTCCCATTTGTTGCAAACTTTTTGGCAGTCACTGTAGTGTGTAGGTATATAGGGTGTCACGAAAGGTTTGTTACAAACTTCTAGGGAAGGTAGATCTCATAATTAGGCTTTTTTTTTGATAAACATGTGTCCTGAAATGCTTCGCTTTCCAGATACGGTGTTGAACTTTGTAAAAATAAGTCGAGTTTTTTATTAATTCTTAGCAATGCGTGCGTTTTAGAAAAAAGTTTTTTTTTTTTTTTGTTTATTTTTAAGCAACAAATAGGCTGGTAAAATTTCAGCTAATTCTGAGGAAATTTAAAATGGTTTTTAAATTTTATCTCGAAAACATTCTGATCAACTTTGCCAGATGACTTTTTTTGATAGCCATGTTAGTTTAGGTGCTGACGCCAGTTTAGTGTTTCAATATGTAAGAGAATAATAATAATAATAATAATAATATTTGAAATATTACAAGAGGCAAAGTTGAGGCGAAACTTCCTCACTTAACCCAATACTTTAACTTCGAGTATAACTTAAACCTAACTAACCAATAGAAATGAATAGGTAGGTTAAGCTGCCATCCAAGGTGAAACTCAACTTAACTGAATGATTTTCAATATACTATACCATTAAATTAAGATGACTTGAAAAGAGAATGAATTAGATCAACCTTGAGATCAATTATCAAAAACTGTTAGAACCAGAGATATCAACCAAGGAGAGGCTGGACAGACTAGGGTGCAGCATTAGTTTGTTCTATCAAATAGACTTTTACATTTTTGGAAAGTTGGGTGGGAACAGATTTCAAGTTAACTGGAACTTTATTGTACTGTAGCCAGATTTTATAAGTGAATGACGTCTCATTTAGAGTTGTTTTGTGTAGCGGAGAAGTGATTGTAAGTTTATGCCTCAAACCCAACCACTAAACGCACGCAGCAATTCTGAATCAGTTGGATAAATCTGGAATCTCGCTCGAGCGGACAGGAGTCATATAGAGCATCACAAAATGTGAACCAGACTGTCGCATAATGGAGAATGTCGCAAGATAAAGAAAAGCTTTTGTATGTCGCCAAATGCATCAGTTGTACCTACATATGTATACTTAATGAAGCTCATTTCCACCCATGAGCTAGAGCTTTCGGTGTGTTTTTTTTTTTAAATTATTTCCTCTATAGGCCTAATTCATGATCTATGTAAAAAACGGGGATGCTTCAATTTTACATAGGTGTTGTGTGGAGGGGCACTGTTTTCCTAGATTGACTTGGTGAAGACATTTCAGGCAGTTCGTGCTTGTTGGTGAAGGTTCGTCTGCTTCCATATGGTTGATATCTTCATCATTGCTGTCGTTTTCCGAGCACTTCAGCCTGGCTTTGCGACAACTGCAAGCGGATTGACATGGTCTTTTGCATTTGAAGGAAATGAGATTCAGCAATGCTGGTGGAGCAGTAAGACGTGAAAATCATCAAAAAAGTCATCAGGCAAAGTTTATCGGAATGTAATTATCTAAGTACTAAAGGCCAATAGGGCCGAACGCACAACAAGACTTTTGAGTGTGATTTTGTGGCTCAACACTCAGGATACAGTCACCAATCACCATTGAAAAAATCAGCCTGCCCTTGTAAATTTTTTTGCGGCCCAGGTATAAATTTCTTGGACTATTAGTTAGATTTAATTTAATTTAAATAGATATTCGAAATTTGTACAAAATGGTATATGTTCCTTTGTCAGCCGGCCTGCATTTAGTCAGGAGGCACAGGGTCAGGAGTCAGGTAACCGCTTAACTACAAGATTATATTGGTTTGAATTTATTTGGTTTGAATTGTTATAACGATGTTTAAAATTATTTTTCAATTTTCTTGAAAGATCTTCCAAATCGAATTTCAAATATTTAATGTAAGAAAATAGGTATTTAATCCAGAACAATACAATAATAATAATATTCATCTTTGTTTCAAAACTGTATAACAAAAATACTCGCAAAAATACAACAAAAAGAAATAATTTTAATCAAAAACAGAATAAGAAAAACGCTAACCTGGTTTTAAAATTGACACTTAATATAAGGAAAATGTATACAATGAAACTTCTAGATACCTAAATCAACTACATGGCTGCATAATCATTCACACTATAAGGTTTGAGATCAAGCAATAATTTTTTACTTCACACATAAATTGGCGTTGCCTGGTTATATTCTTCAAGTTCAAGAGAAGCTTATTAAATAGTTTTACACACTTGTAATGCAGTCCAATTTGGACCTCGAAGAGATTTCTGTTTCTAAATGTAAACATTAGGCATTCATATGTGTACAATGCGTACATGGTTAAAAATATTGATACTGGTTCTCAACCCTCATCTGTTGAGTCTTTGCTTTATCCTGGGGCATTGCCGACAGAGAAATAATTGTTTGTAGGAATCTCGAATATCTATGGCGGCTACTTTATAGTGGTATTTAAAACATGCTTCACAACAGGTTACCTTCCTTGTTTCTTTTGCAAAAAAAAAATAGACAGTTACAACCTAAAAGTTGAAACTAGCGATGCTTCCAATGCAAAGCAAAACGACGAGCAAAAAAACAAGACAAATTTTTCATCACAGTCACAACAACAGTTCAAGAAATGCTATTCTATTCTCTCAAATATACATTTTTGCTTGTTTCGAATACTGTTCAAATCTAGATTTCAATCTTATGGTATTCTTTAACAGCAGGCATCAAATTATAGGCTTTTGGTCACAGATAGTTTACTGATCTTCTGTAGAATTTGCTACGACAGTAAATTTAGCTTATTACCGAGCTTATTACTAGGCTTAGTATTTGTAAAATTTCCAGTAAAATAATTATGTGAAACTAAATCTTTATCTTGTTTTTTCTGCCTAAAACTTAGAATAAAGGCCGGGACACATCTATCATACATTCTTCCGATCCGACTCCGATCATACAATCAAGGTCCTTATTCTTGAAACAGGGCAGCAGCGGAACACTCGTTCTCCTTGGGAACACTGCTTCCTGTTCCAAGAATAAGGACCCTGATTGTATGATCGGAGTCGGGAAGAATGCATGATAGATGTGTCCCGGGCTTTATTTGTAATGGGCGAAAAGTACTTGAGAAAGTACCTATTGTTATACATTGCTTCCCATGCCAATATAGCATATCTCAGCAGCGACTCCTTACCAAACTTTGGTACAAAGAAGTTATGTTACAATATTTCTGAAAATGTGAAATCTATATATTAGCGATTTAAGTTTTTCTGTAAGGTTCTACACGTTTGGTCCATTTGAGATTGGGATTGACAAAATTACCCAGATATTTTGCATAAGGGACTTCATTATTTTTTCCCTTAAACATACAAATCTGTATAGATGTAATATCTGGACGTTTTCTGTCGATTTTCTTAAAGGCCACGTAATTGGTGTTTTCTAAATTTAATGACAGTTTATGCATATCCGAGTGCATATCCAACCATGTCTTGACCCTCTTTCACCCAACTAGAACTCTAGATCTAGCCTCTTCCCAAGTGCTACCACAGAACGTAAAACATTATTATCTGCATATTAAATTATTTTTGGCATTATCCCTTGATCTATCAGCGCTTTAATGAACCTAAATATTAAAAAAATAGCAATCCCAGGAAAGTGCCTTGAGGAACGCCTATACTAATCTTCTGTGGCTCACTGAGAATGTCTTTAATTTTTTTTATTTGCTCTCAATCAGTTAACTAGCCAGTACAAAGCCTCAACGCAACCCTCTCATTCAAAAGTATTGTGTGAGAGACATTGTCAAAGGCCTTGGTCAGGTCTAAAAACACAGCAATATATTTTTGTTGTTTTGATTTGATTTCATTCACGGGGCGATTTCTTAAACTATGGCTTCATATTTGATTTTTTGTGACTGATTTATAAATTGGAATGATTATTGATTTGTTAGAATGACTAGGTACAGTTCCTGTTCTTAAAGTAAGATTATTAATATGTTTGAGAGGTGCCAGCAGATACTGATGCAAACCATTAATGAGTTCAACGTTCAACAGTAACCATATCAAAACACGTGCTACTGTCTGTTTTCAAGCTGTTAGTTGAGTGAGTTCTATATCAGATACTGAACCTAAAAATAGTGATTCAAGGTTATTTTTTAAGTTGACTTGAGGTATCTTGGCCAACATTTGAAGACCTATGTTGTATGTCTTTTTTCGTATTTCCGTATAGGCGATTAGTAAGTTCATAACAATATCTCCAGACGTATTGGTCAGTTTTTTGATATGTGCCCTTTGGCAGCAGATACACTACTAAACAAAAAAGTTGGCAAAATCTTGTAAGCACAATGTTTGAAGGGCTGTAGCTTGAAAACGGTTGTATCGATTTCGAACAGCTTTACAGGGTTCGAAAGCTTATTTTTTTTAGAGATTCCACCATTCGCTTTCTGTTTCTGCACATGGCCCTGTTCACATTATACAGCGGTCGCGAAAATTATAAACCTCAAATTATGCAAATTATGATAATTGGTCTTTTTATACCTATTCAAATTGGTCTGTATGCCTTTTTTTTTCTTTGAAAATTGGTTAGGTGATACATTGGGCCAATATCTCGAGACGATTTTTACGTTTTTGTGGCTTACAGTTTAATGGATTCCGAAACGTTTTCCCCCAATGTAAAAGTGCCGTGAAACCTCTAAAAAAATAACCTGCGATGCTGTTCGAAATCGATACAACCGTTTTCAAGCTATAGCCCTTTAAACATTGTGCATGCTTACAAGATTTTACCAACTTTGTTGTTTAGTATTGTATCTGCTCCCAAAGGGCACTTATCAAAAAACTGGCCAATACGTCTGGAGATATTGATATTAACTTACTAATCGCCTATACGGAGATCCGAAAAAAGGAATATTGCCAATATGGCAGACATCCAACTTTGTACTTTTGCATCAGTTTATTATTAACCCTGTATATTACTTGAGAAATACATTCCTTAAAAAAAAAAAAAAAAATCCTACGAGATATACATGGGCTTTCAAATACCAGAAACCTCATTAAAAAAAGGTATTACAAACTGAATATGGTGCTAAAAATTGCTTGTCCCGTTTTTTTCTGGAGAGCAGTTTATATTAAAAAAAAAACATAAGGCTAAAAACTAAATCCCAGTTGAGTTACTCTCAGACTCAACTCAAACCGGGTTTAATGTTTTTTTCTTATTCTAATGCTTTCTTTCTTATATTTTTAAAATATTAAATTAATATTTCCAGAAATATGAAACTTGAGGCCCATGATGATGGCTACGAAACCAGTGCAGACTTGTTGATGAATAATCCCAATGTCAACCATAACCATCATGAAGTTAAACGAGAAAAAATGGAGGACCCTTATAGTTTCATTGACGACGATCCCATTCCTATGCTTCCTTCGGCCCAAGGGCCACCTCATATGATGCACCCATTGCCACCTCTGAACAACCAAATTATGCCTGGTCCGAAAAAACGGGGAAGGAAAAAGAAAATCAAAACTGAGTGAGAATTTAGGATGCTTTTTATGTTGTTGAAAACGCTAGGGTGTTCAGTGTTCCTGGAACTATTTTGACTTTATGTAATTACAGTAGATTTCATCCAATCAGCCAAAGCGAAACATTAGTACAAGTATCTGTAGTTAGTGGAGAAACACTGAACATACCTATACTGCCTATACATATCCCATGTTTGGTTTTGGGAAATACTGACACTTCTTTTGCATCCAAATGGATTTTTGGTCTATTTCAAAATACATTAATGCTGTTTTCATGATTTTATCAAGGATTTTATACTATTGCCTTACTATAGTAACACGAATGATTCTTGTGCCCAATATAAAGCTTTCAAATGCAATTTTAGGATTCCGTTTATCTTTTATCTAAAATTATATTAGGAATAATGCTAGTAAAAGTTGCTGTGTGTTAAGTAGGCACCTACTTGCTGGAAAAAATTGAATACTTATGACAGAGCAAAGTTGCAGGAAGAAGTTTTTTACATAACATTTATCTCTTTATTTCTTGCAGAAGATTGCGGTTTTCCATTTTAAGTTAGGTGTAGATTTCGCATGTTTCTGAAAAGACGGTTTATGTATGTTGTAAAAAAAAGCAATTGGGGCATCTTTGATTTGGCATCGGGGCAAAGATTGATTTTTACAGTATTAAAAAAATCCATTTACTCTACGCTAGTAGCTTCCTTCCTTTCAATTTTTAAACTACTATACATTTTTATTTTTAATCCAAATTTCGGTGCATTAATTAGAGATGGACGCTTTTAAATCAAAATCTGACGAATAAAAAAATCGTAGGTAAGAAATAGAAAAAAAAAGGGGGGAATATTTCTTCGTCCATATTGTCTGCTTCACATAGGTATTCATTTACTTCTACAAAGTCAGAAAAAGTTACCATTAATTGGGATTTTTTCACTGATGAGCTTTCAGTAAACTTTATTTTTGTTAAAGCTTGTCCAAGAAACATTTTGTTACCATTTAATTTTTGTATAGGTATGTTAGTTAATTAATTCTTAAATTTTCCGTGTTATAATAAATAATGAGGGTTGTATAAGCATTTTATCTTGAAGGATTTAATTAGATTAGTTAGTATTATTATTGTATCAATTATTATTGTTAGGTGCTATTACCTATGTGTATTGCAAGGAAGAACTCTTAATACTACAATTTAGAATTTTTGGATCTGAGATCTGATTTAAAGAAAAGTAAAAATATTTCAATCCCCCTAATGACCCGTTTGGCTTGATTTTCAAGCTTGAGATTTCCATTTGGCAGAAGCAAAATTTAATTTGTAATTTTCAAGAATTAGGTATTATAACTTTTCACTGAGATTTTAATAATTAGCTCCTTGGTATTCATTTTGCAAAAAAAAATTATATTCATGGCATGTATCATCATGGTCATCGCTTCAAACAAAAATAAAACATGTTTTTTTTTTTTTCGTATTGCATTATTTAGATAACCACAAAGCAGAGCAATAAAGAAAATCCATATTTTTGGTTTATTGATAGTTTGTTGTGAACAAGCCAGTAACTCATGCTATAATGTCATAAAGTGTAATAGTTAACAAATAACTTAAAAGCAGTTAAGCAGTTGTGTTATTTATTGACTTGTGAATTGTGTATGGGGTGCACCATGTACACATAATATGTATATGACTGGCATGAGTTTATGTTTTCTCGTTCACTGCACTATCAAAAATTAAGTATTTGTTTCAGACCTGGTGATTTCGCACAAGATTTAAATGGAGTAATTCCTCGGCCTATCAAAGAACGTAAAAAGCATGACAGATTTAATGGAATGCCTGAGGAGGAAGTCTCCAAGAGAACGTTACCAGATCATCTTGCTGAAAACTTAGATATTATTATTGTGAGTCAACGTTTCAAATTTTTTTTTTCTACTCCTATTTTATAATACGCTAATTAAAAAAATAAAAATCTGTTTCATTATGAACTTCATTAGGTATGATACAGATTTTCATCATGATACAAATTTTTCAGCCACTGGAATCAAGTTATTTTAAACATGAACAATGTGTTTATACAAAAATAACAGACTTGTTTTGAATTGTTTCTGTTAGTATTTACAAAAAGAAACAACAAAAAATAAATAAATTCGCGCGGGTGCGGAATTTATGCGCCAATGACTCTAGATCTCCATTTTCAAAATTGTCAATAGATGGTACCACCAGTTGAGAAGTTTACTATTCTTAAAATAAATATGTTAATACACTCGCATGTTATATACGAAACTCGTCTGCGGCTCGTTTTGTATCCTACAACATGCTAGTGTATTAATGGCCATCATTACAAGATCATTGCCTTGTTGCAAAACAACGTTATTAAATTTCAGATTGGAATTAATCCAGGACTGTTTGCTGCTTATAAGGGCCATCACTATGCAGGACCGGGTAATCACTTTTGGAAATGTTTGTATTTATCTGGCCTCACGCCGCAGCAAATGTCAGCTGATGAAGATTATAAATTACTTCAGGTACAGAAAAGTTTAACTTTCCCAAGCCTGTTTATTTCAAAAGCAAAGTCCATTCTGAAAACTTAATGGGGCTCAATGCTGATTGATGAAGTGAGTTTTTGAAACTAAAATAAATTTTAATTGTTTCCTTAGGTTGGAATTGGTTTTACCAATATGGTAGAACGTGCTACAAAAGGCAGCGCTGATTTAACACGTAAAGAAATTAAAGAAGGTAGCCAAATTCTGTTAGACAAATTAAGAAAATTTAGGCCTAAAATTGCGGTGTTTAACGGAAAGTTGATTTATGAAGTGTTTTCTGGGAAGAAAGATTTCAAATTTGGCAGGCAGCCGGATTTGGTAGAAGGCACCAGCACTGTAAGTATTTGGCTTTTGTATCAATCATATTACTTTTAAATTTATATCATTATCATTGAACTACCTATTGTTTAGTGGTTGTATGTTTGAGCATATTATTTCCATTTTAGCATATGTGGGTGATGCCTTCATCCAGTGCACGATGCGCACAGCTCCCTAGGGCAGCCGATAAAGTGCCATTTTATGCAGCTCTTAAAAAATTCCGAGACTATCTGAATGGATTGCTTCCAGAAATTGATGAAAATGAAATGGTTTTTAGCGAACCCAAAGTAAAGTCGTGCTATGAAGCTGAACCGAAGGCAGAGCTTTACCCTGAGCTTACTGACATTAGCAATGCTGTGATTAAAAATGAGGATGGTACAATAATACCATGTAAAAAGAAGCGTGGTAGGCCAAAGAAAATTAAAGTGGAAGGTGAAGAAACACCTCCACCTAAACCAGTTGCTAAAAAACCTCCACCACCTTCTAGTAATAATTGTGGAGATTTTCCAAAGAAAAAGAGAGGTAGGCCTAAAAAAGTAAAAATGGATAATGCTGAAACAAATCGCATGGAAAATAGTAGCGCCCAATCCAATATGTCACAGTGTTTTTCTAATCCATCGCCCATTCAGTCACCAAACAGTTTTTATCCAATGGGACCGGCGATGACACCACCAAGTAGTACAGGTAATATGTATAATTCGCAGCCGCCGGTTTATAATCAATCACCTCGGCCGCCGTTCAGCCAGTCGCCCAGACCGGCCTATAGTCAGTCTCCACGACCAGCTTATAGTCTAAGTCCAAGACCGGCTTATAGTCAGTCTCCGAGACAGCAGTACAACCAGTCTCCAAGGCCACAGTATAGTAATTCACCTCGGCCTCAGTATGGTGGCCAATCCCCGCGGCCACATTCTCAGCCATTTACACATTCTGATCTCAGTTCGGAAATTAGTGCGGCAATTAGTTCGGAACAACTTGGTTCGCCTGGTTCACCCATTGGTCCGCCAGATTTTGAGCCGCCCACTAGTATGGCTGAAGATGCAGAGTGCAGATTAAGTCCTGCGCCATCTACAAACAGCGAGAATCCAACACATCACTATCACATGAGTCCTGCTCCATCCACAAATGGAGAACAACCACATCACTACCACTATCAACCATACAATATGGATCCGCCCTCCCAGGAACCTCCGCAGCTTGCTCCTCAGTATACAACTCCACAACAACAAAAACAACAAGACATAGCTTCAAAGAGCCTTTCAGGCCTGGAGTCATTGGTTGACCAAATTCCAAGTATTACTGATGGGGAGGCTCCCTTAACTGAAACGCCCGATCAGTATTCAAATAGTTACACTGTGGCTTCGGCACGGGCAAGTCCAGTTTCATACAACTATCCTCCATCATCCGGATATCCTTTGTATCCGACACCAACTTGGAGCGGGCATTATGAACCAATGCCCTTAAGTTACCCTCAGATACCATACCCTCAGAGCTACACACCAGGGATTCACATGCCCAATCCAAACTATCCTTATTACACTTACCCCCAGCCCACTCCACCGCATCCACCTGGCTATCCACCTTATTTGGGTGGGTTTTGATCGGTTTCTGTCGCTGTATTTTAATGTTGTGTACCTGTAAGATATGTTTGGCTAGTACCTAGCAAGTCTGTCCGCTTCAGTACGAAGTATGGGAAATTCAAATGCTTTGGCTTGGGGAATAATTATATCTGTATATTATTTAAAAATATATTTATCAATACATTTGAAGAACAGATTGTCAGGACAGGACAACATACTTCAGTAATTTCTGCAGGTTTTGTGATTTGTTGTTTAAGACTTCATTTCATCATTGTATGCTATATAGGGTTTTGAAAATAAGTGATACTACTATTATTAGCTTCAAAGGTACGAAAAAGAAAACATGCTTACATATACAGGATGAATCTGAAAGTGAGTTTTTTTTTAACAGGGTACATATATGTATATCTCGCCAAAATAGGCTGTTTGGCAAAAAATTGTTTATATAGAAAATTTAAGATAACGAAAATTTTTAATAGGTTGAAAATTAAAAAAGGAGTTTTTGATTGATTTTTTTGCTGAAATAATGCAACTATACCTATTATGGGATAGGCTCATTATGCTGGACTATTAACAGCTTTTTTTTTGCGTTTTTTTTTTGAAAAAATGTGAACATGTTTTATAGTTGGAGTTTTCTTTAAACCTTAAAATACCTGTACCTCCGTTATCTTAATTTTTTTATGTAAACAATTTTTTGCCAAACAACTTATTTTGGTGAGATATATATCCTGTTAAAAAAAAAAACCTCACTTTCAGATTCGCCCTGTATATATATCTATATTTTTTTATCTGAGTAGCCAAAGAGTTGCTAGGAAAATCACCTCAGAATTTGTTTTTGTAATCGCCTAATTGTGTACTGCACGAAGCTTGCACCTTCTTCTCTGAGTTGTTTTGGAACTTTGATTCGACTCGACTCACCGGTTTACCAGCTGTCAATTAATTTATATAAATAGGTATGTGTATTTTTTAACTTCTGCAGCACTGAGATTGTGAATCGAACAATGAAAATAACTACATTCTGAAACAATCAACAAAAATAACTTCAGAATTCCACTACTTAGAAGATTTTTCTGCGGGAAAGGCTAGCTTTTTACCTATATTTCAAGACTTATGACTGTCTTGACCGCCAAGCCCTGTGCTTTATCCCTTGCCCTCTTTCTGGGATAGAGAATAATTTTGTAACACTGCCTGCTTCTGGAATCAAATTATCCCGATCAGACCGTTTATTATCGTGATATGCCTTCAGCCTGTCTGGAGCTACCACTTTTTTCCCTATGTCTATACCTCCACTCAAATTCATGAATTCCATCTATCATGCTTCATCTGCCTATTACCAGCTGTATTTCAGAGTCCAAAGTACCAAGTCTTTGGAAATAATGTCCTCTGGATCTGTGGTCTTTGTCATACTCATAATAATCTTCTTCATCCCAACTAAACATCTCTATTAATCAGAGCAAATGAAAGAAAGGAGTCCTTTATACTTCACGTCTCTATTAATGTCAAATGAATACCCCCCAGGATGCCTCCCTGTCCATCTAGATCCATAACCTGCGGGGTTCTTCTTCCTTTTGACTGAAGTCACAGGAATTAGAAGAATGACCCCCCTGTTCATTCAGTCTGTTAACTTGTTTTTCGATCTCAGAACTCCTAATAAAGTCACTATTGTAGTGCCACTTTTCTTTCTCAAATAGAACACTACGGAAAATTCTGGAACTTTTCAGGAAATTTTCCGCTAAAAATTTTCTTCATTTGTTAGTTTTCTGAAAAATTTATGGAAAACAGGTTATTTTCGAAAATGTGCCTTTTCACCCCTAAAAGGGAATGGGAAGGGTAGAGCACAGGGGATGGACCTCGAGATAGTTTTTAATTTTCAAATAGAGGTGAAAAGCTGGCCTTTCCCGCATAGAAATTTGTTCGAAAAATTATGTTTGATGATCCAAATCAAAAATCAATGACATCCAAATATCAATAAATGTGAACATCGCCTCCCTAAAGTCCGCCACACGGAAGATAAAGACCGCATTATTCGTTATATTTCTCTAGTCAAGAGGCTATTAAATGTTTCTGAATCGTTTTAGTAAGTTTGCTTATTGACAATTGAATTTAAGAAATATTGCGCGACCTACGGAATTGTTAAATTCAGAGATGTTTGGATATTTTTGTTTTCAAAAATAATACATAGTGAAATGAATGTTATATTTTCTTTCTTTTTTCATGTATTTTTATTTTGAATTGAAGATTTTTTTGGGTACCATATTGTTGATCTGCCACTGGGCATTCTGCAAATATCTTGAACCTAAACTCCTTATCTTCTCAGTTATAGATATATGTATAGATATACTTGCTCAATATGCATAAAAGGTATCAGAAATGATATATGTAGAACCCCAAAAACAATCTGCAGGAAAATCAGAAACGAAAAACAAATAAGTACGCAAAAGTAGTGATTTTTTTTTATCCTCCTGTCTACAACCATAGAATACAACATACTACGCGCGAAAAATTTCTCTGAATTAGCATGTGCCAGCAAGTTTTTGCTACGTTTAAAATTTGGGAAATCTGGATAAGCTATAAAGATTAATAATTGTAACTTTCCGTTTCCAAGATAGCAATAGTGGTGTGACTTATTTGTGAAGCTCTGTAGACCGCTCAAAAATACTTAGTTCATAAAATGTAATTATTCTCTGAGCATTTTATACTCTACTGTATTTGATCTATACATTCAATGTGAAGTTTCCCATATTAAACGATGGTCACTTGCATTTTAAAACCAGAGACTTGCACAGGGTAATTGGTGATATCTTTTTGTCATAAGTATTTTCTCTAAACTTTAAATGTTAGATAGGCCAAGGGTTTGTGCATTAATATCTACATTCGGATCTCAAGTTGGCCTTGTGTGACTGATGTTATCTGAATGTTTAGCCCTGGACTTTATTTATGATGTGGTATTTAATTTGTTTTATTGTTATTTTTCATTTTATATCTTTTATAGCAATGGTACTAAAAACGTGGTAGATAAAATCAAAAAAATATACATACAATTTTGAAATTAAATTATTCAAATATTTATCCCTAATCATGCATACTGAAAAGATTTTTTTTTATTTTTAATATTCCACTACATAGTCTAAATGTAGACTGAAATAGATACACCTATCTTTGTAAAAGTCTACCAGAGAATCCCTAACGGTTGATTCGGTGCCAATTATTGCCCCAGGTCGGTTCTAGGTGTACCGCTCCCATGAGAGTCAAAACCAGACGGCAAACCAGTACCCAGGTTCTGGTTCTAGTTGTGGATCGTACACCGCACTGACGAGCTGCAAGAACACCGAAACCCGTCTGAAGGTGGATCCGCAGAGAAAACTGGTTACCTGGTTTCTGATGATCATCTGCATCTCAAATAGATACACATTTTATACTCTGACCAAAAAGTAACTAGACCAATAAAAGCACGAGAAGAGATGTTTTTTTTGTTGAAAAGCTGCAATTTGAGAGCTGAGTCGTACTATTTAAACAATTGAAACCTTCTAGTTCTATTCCGAAACTAGCATCGGATGTGCTGAACGGTTTTTATCCTCTAGACACCACATGCTATGGTGTAGTGATGCCGGGGAGATAAGAGAATCTCGTCTCGACAAGATCAGAGAGTGTTTTTACGTGAAAGAAAAGCTTAGGACGAGACAAAAGAAGTTCTTCTCTAGCCGAGAATTCTCGTCTTCTCTCAGTCTCTCTCGTGTGGTCAGATAGACATACCTCACTCAGTCTTTTTACACAACAATTTCTACACAGCAACAAGTTTTTTTTTTGCCAAAAAAAGTTGAACAAGTATTTGATACGCTAAAATGAAAATCAGTGTCAATCAAAAGTTAGATCTTCTCAGACATTTAATTGGGCTCATGTGATTTTAACATTGTCAATCCTGATACCTACTTTTGGTCAGGGTATATCCCTTAAGTGCAATATGAATGCTTTGTGACTTTTTTGTCAACCTTGTTCCAATCAAATTTATATGTTGTTTATTGTATACATCTAGTCCGTATTTCTAGTCTTACAAAATATTTTTTATTTAATTTTTATATTTTTTGAAAATATATTTTTTTATTACTAGGTCACTTTATTTAATGGTTTGATGTTTTTTCTGTATTTGAACTACCTACAATACAATAATCTCCATAAGATTTGGCATTTTTTGTGTTCTGTTTGTGAGTAGTTTAAATAATTATTGTTTTCGTAATCTTCTTTCTAAGAAATATTTAAATATATGTATATAAATAGGAAAGTTTGCATTTAATTTAATTGAATATAGTTGAACTGGTTGAAGCAGCAGTTTAATCCGTTCTAGAGGCAGTGAATATTTTTGGCACTTGGTTGAATTCCTCTACTTTTGGCAGATAATTCCAATGAAAATTAAATTTGGTGGCAATATAATAAATTACAAGATAGTAGTATAGTCATAAATCATAATAATCGTCTATTATTAATTTTGTTCTTTATTGAAATTCCTCTCGCCTAGCAAAGTCCCAGAGCTGGATAATATGGGCTTTTCCAAAACATTTAAAATAATTGTTTTGTCCTTATAGCGTAGAAGTCAGGTAAGGCAATCTGACGAATAAAAACGCAATGTATAATCCTATTGGTCGACCAGTTATCCGCCGACCAATAGGATTATAGATTGGCAAATTTATTTCAAAGACAGTTACCAGTAAGTTTATCTAAAGAATAATAAACCTGACCGTAGAGAATTTAGTTTTCATATATCGTCGTTAATTTCACAAAGTGATGTATCTCAAATCGAGATTCTTTTGAGATACGTCACTTTGTGAAATTAACGACGATATGTCCTCACCAGAAATAATCTGATCGACATATGTTTAATTGTTTCTTTATACATATGAAATAAAAATATTTGTGCCAACTTGGTAAAATTTCGATTTACAACTAAACTGAATCCAAATCGGACAGTCAGTGAATGACGTAAACAAATGCAGGCATAGAGGGCACCTGATCACTATCCTTCTGAGTATTAATTAATCGCGCGATGGCATTTGTTTAAGTTTACTGTCTGTCTAATTTGTATGTTTGGTTACTGCTACTACAATAAAAAATTAAGTGCCAAATTGCTGGTTAGGAATTTATAGGAAACTGTTTTTATTACATACATAATTTGTTGCTACCCCCTTGATGAGTCCAGGGCTGTGTGATACCCGTTTATTAATAGCTGTAGGCCTGATTCATGTCATAATTTAAAAAACATTTGGCATAGCTCTGTTCATCTATTATCCTTCCCCTAGTCTCCTATCCTCTAAGTGTGTCCTTCCTTACATATCTCTGTATTAAAACGGTTTCGCATCTCATCTAGGATGCAAGAGAGATGGAAATAGTGGACAGACCAAGCAAATGCAAAGTGTTCAGACGGTACTGGATCAAGAATAAAACAACTGATTCCTTTGTAGTGTGTAAAATGTTATAGGCATAATAATTGTATCTTATTTACTTAGAGCATATTCAAAAATAAAAAAAGATTTCATTCATACATAATATTTTGTATAATGTGATCGTTAGATGGTAATTTCTTCTGGTTTATGAGTTCCAGGCAACATATTCAAATTTTAATACCATGTATCCATACCATATAGAAATATTTTAAATTATTTTATCTAATAATACATACCTATCCAGGGCATTATGGGCTTTATTCAGTCTACTGTGTTAGCTAAACATTCGTTTGTGTAATGCTGTTAAATGTGACCCAAATTAACACCTCAAATAAATTTGTTGCTTGGATTATTTTTCTAAATTTTTCGGTTTATAGACAATTAGTTAAAGCGTTATAAAATCACTACAAACGTGAATTGATTGGTGACAACTCATCGAAATTAGACTGGTTCTTTCCAGAGCAACTATTTCAAAGCGATTCTCTAAATATGTATTGATATATATTCTGAAACGAGCTTAAACTAAACCTTAGGTTCTGTGAACCAGGGTTTTCTCTAAATCCTTTAGCCCTAGATACTCAAGAAGATAATCAGTGTATATCATTGATCATCTAGAAAAAGCATTTGCGCTTGTTACTGATTACTGCATTTTAGCACCATATTGGATTTAAAAAAAACTAATACTAACACAGGTCAGTATAGGCACTATAATATTTTGAACGAGATTTGCTCACTTCATGTGGGTATTGAAGCGAGTTTAAAATATTTGGCTGCTTTCTCTGAAAACTTTTAATTTTAGCGTGCGTTTGAGTAAGGCTTCAATATCGGGTTTTCGCAAATATAAACAAATAAGGGAGCCTTTCGCAACATCACCGACTCTGTGTTTGAATGCCAGAATCTTCCATACAAATAATTGAGTTTATTTTTGATAAAAACAAAATGTTGACTCAGTTTGTTATGTACCTAGTTAAGTTTCTTCTGAAGTCACTTGGTGATCTAGGATTAGGACATTGGCACTATATTCATGATGGCAGTTTTGAAATGTCACCAATTAGACAGAATTATTTTTAAAAAATTATGTAAACTCTGGCCGTTTTCCATTTTAGGATTACTTTTGACCAATATAATTGTGTATATGAATCAAAAACTGTGCTCGTGGCTGTAAATTAAATTATTTTGCTGTGCCACATTCTTCCAAATACTCAATATGATTATTGGATTAAGGACATAATCATCTGGCATGATTATCATCTCAACTGGCTGATTAAGTATTCTTTTCACCAAGCAAAGGTTTTCAACAAAGTCTCGAATAAAATTGGCATGTTGTTAGTACTTTATGGTGCATTCCTTTACCATTGTTTCGAATTCTGCCAAAAACAATAATATCTAAGATCAACAATAGTTGCCAAATCTCACCAAAAAGTTCACTTTTGTATGACACCCTATAGCGTCATGTAGCTGTCACAATACGAAATACATTGTGTGTAAGAATAAATTATAATGATTGTACTTAAATGTGAAATAATGTTACACACTGAAAAAAAAATTCAACGAAGTTTCTACGATTCTATCCTAATGAAGTGACAACTAGACAATTATATCTATTTCCTATATAATATGAATGTTAATATTTTCCTAACTGTTGTTTCTAATTTATTTTGCTTATTTTATTAATTTTTAAATTGATTTAACTTGTTTTAGGCTATGTTTTTTGTTTGCCGATTTTGTTCTTTGAATACCAAGGTACATTTTTTTGTTTGTTTTTTTTTTTAAGGGAGAGCTTTTTTCACTTCTCAATAGTGAAATTGTTACCAGAGAGTGTTTTATTATTACTTAACTGATATTTTCATAAAGAACATTTTTTTTAACATTATGTCGTGTGTGGACTTGGTTTGGTGTCAAGCTCAAAAATGGATTTACATAATATTATTTAGTTACTTTGTAAATTATTATCAATAATTGTAATATTTTGTAATTCTTGATTTAAATGTTGAGCGATGAGAAAGGTATGTATGAACATTTTTGATGAATCAGAGATGTTTCATAAGTGTAAAAATTGTAAAAAGCAAAATTTAAGGATACTTTAGTATTCTTTTGAAAAAGTTAGTAAAAATTTTGATACAGGGTTGTAGAGTTCAAAATGTAGCTTATTATTGGTGTGCATAATATTATGTGTAAATTACTGTGCATCACCTATTTATAGACTTATTCTACAGTAACCTGACTTATCTTCTGAACACTCTGCATTTACCTAACATTATAGCTAGGTGTGAATACTAAAAAAAGCGAACCAAGTTTTTAACGAAATTTTAGAGTTTAGGCTAGTAAATGGAAAAATTATTTTTGGTTTCAGTGCGCAAATTGCATTTTGTCTATAAAAAATTTAAAGCGTCGATTAAATGAGTAAAAAAACTAAGTGACCTAAAATTAATGGTAAACGTGTGTACGTAAATAAATTTAGGATTTGTATGTTTTCTTTATCTAATCTTTAAGGTAAGATTTGTGATTAGTTACACACTATTTCCCTCTCTTTTTTTGTTAATTAATAATTGTTCATCATGAAGACTATGATTTTTGATATGTCAGAATAATCATTTTTATATGTAAGAGCTGGTATATTTGATGGAATTGTATGTATAATTTACTGCCTCTGATTTGCTATTTTTTGTACTTAAACTTGTAGAAACTGAGCGAGGTATACCTACATGTACTTTTTATTCGCTTAATATATAAAAAAATCTATTCAAAACAATTATTCTGACCATTCGAAAAGCTGGTCAAGTGAGCTGCAAGTGGTTATTGGTTTTTGTAGTCACAGAACTGATATTTATTTAAAGAATTCTAATTGTTCATTGTGTTATATGATAATGTATTGATTTATATATATCTAATAATTGTTATCTGTAGGTATGATACTCCCAATATTAAGTTGTTCTTATTTTCATTTTGAAAAAATCTCTCCCACTGTTCTTTTTGTACTTTCAAACAGCATTAACATTTTAAGGACAAAAAAAAATAAATTTTGTTTAATTCCATTTTGTTATTTTTATTTATTGCAGTTTCATTTTCTTACATAAACTGGCCGGTTGTTATTTACAATTTATAACAATACAACCTCGGCTTTGTAATTACATATTAAAGTAGGGCTAGTCAGAATTTTTTTTCCTATTCCTGATGCTGAAAATTGCCCAATGCATGCTTATCCTCGCTATAGACTAATCCAAACTGATTAAATAGCAGTGATATAGTAATCGATGATTTTTGGAAAATTCATGTGTATGCAAGTTAGGTCCAGTGGCGTAGCCAGCCTTGCGGGGCGGGAGGGGCAAACATATGAGGGGGCGCATAATTTTTTTGGTGGAGGGGGGGGGTAACAAATGAATGTTTGTATGTTTTTGTACTATTTGCTTATTGGGGGAAAATATTGCAGACAAAAAGCCCGCCGGAGACGAAAAATTTCCCCGGGTGCCACGCCCAAAAAAGTTTATTTTGAGCCTTCAACAACAATTTTTTTTTGAGGTGCCACTCCGAAAAACATTTATGTATTAAAATAAGTGATGTGTGGACAAAACGTTAACTTAAAAAATCCTCCCGGGCGTCTCCGGACGCCTTGAAAATTAGAACAAATCCGTGGAAATCCGAAGGAATGACACTAGGAGCTGTCATTCCTTCGGAGTGAAGTGACAGAAAAAATCGGCGGTATACGGTACTTTTATTTTAATCACATCAATTATCAAAACAAAAACTATCATGTTTCCTTTTATTAAACTGAAGCATTTGCCGACAATGCCAACTTACGATAAAGAATAAAAGGATGAAGAAAGAGGTCAATAAAATAAATAAGAAACAGCATAGTTTTATAACTTCTTGGTTTTGTTTTTTAAGAGCGGTAGGGGCGCCATTACGTGTAGGGACATGGGGGCCGTCGCCCCCCCCCTGCCCCCCTACTGGCTACGCCACTGGTTAGGTCAAAAAGGAACAAAACCTTTACGTGCATAAGTGCTCCACTTTTCAGGATTTGAGTGGCATGAATGCAATTTTGTCGAAAATTATAGATATACTTACAAATTTTCATTGCGAGTTTATATTTTATGAGAGGATTTACTCTTCCTGTCTTTATGCATTGATCTATTTAAGAACTTCAGGCTGATGTAGGATTTAACTTTGCAACACATTTCGAAGCCCGGTTTAATGAAAGTTAATAACTTTTTGTTCTTTTGTATAAGACCATCAAGGGTAGCGGCCAACGCATTTATGAATTGCCAACTTTTCTATGCTCGCTGTTTATATTTCTTCTCTCACTAATGAGTACTTCGAAAAACACTTTTCCAATGCTTCTTTTCTATTGGAGGCAATTTTTTAACACAATTTGCATAATTAGCAGCATGACTTATGCTGTTTCTGCTCTGTATAAGTGCTAGGTATACTGAACCTAATATATTGTTCACAGGTATTTCTCTATATTATGACCTATAGCACAGGAAACGAAGGTTTTACTACGCACTACGCAAGCTCCATGGTAGTCGGGTTTAATTTTTTTTCTTATAGATTTTGTGGTGCCGACATATCCACAAAAAAAAACAAGAATATTCTGTGAAAATTTGAACACGCTAGCATTAGTCTTTCAGATAATAATATAAAGGCGTGTTTCTAGGAGATGAAACCCTGTATATCAAAAATGCGCGATTGCCCATTTATGAAAAATATACTAAAAATCAGTAATACATGTGTGATGAATAGCCGCAGGTTTTTACGTCAACCCGCATTTGTATTGACGGAAATAAAAAATGTATTGCGGAAGCATGTTTTTTCAAAAGTAGTCACTTTTGAGGCGCCACCCTCGCTAAAGGGTAGGCGATGGATATATGCTGCCGCTGGAGAAATTGTAGGGAATATAGTACTCTATAATTTACCATAAGGCTTTTTTTGTGTGTAAAACGCACCGGAAAGGCAACGTTTGCAAAAACCAAAAACTACCCCCTTTAGACGTTCGAACGGGGTGATCCTGGTGATTTTTTTGTGTGAATATGCCGGATTTGTAATCAGCACCCCAAAATCTATCCAGTTTGCGTGGTAAGACCGTTTCCTGGGCCATCAAGTAAATTTTGAACTTGGTTGATCTTAGTTTGAAGATTCTGTTTTTTCCTGTTCCGAATCTTCCATGTTATCTGGCTTCTGACAAAAGCTTGTCATAGTTCCTCCTTTTTCCAAATTACACGACCAATCTGCGCCAAATACATTTTCTTTTGTATATTTTTTGAAAATTCCTCCTTTCAATTTTTTTTTTCAGTAGATTTTTTTGATAACTGAAACAATAAATAATTCACTCCTTTACCGCACCTATCAGTTTTGCAGTATAGTTTCATTAAATTGCTTATCATCAACATGGAGGGACTGAACACTGGAGGAGCTTATATCAATTTGTGCTTTCAAAAAAGTTACATCTTTCGCTTTTTCATTCTAAAGAGCTACAATGTGGCGGAGCATATTTCTTTTTCAAAAGTACAAATACATTTAGACCTTTACAAATAATGGAAAATATTTTAAAATTTAAATTCAGCATGTGCGTATTTGAAACAGACTGCTTTATTTTGGTTAATATTGAGTCTATCACTAATATCATGTTGGAAACGAGGACAACCAAGTAGCATAACGCAAACTGTTTTTATGGCTGAACATATGGTCAGGTTCAAATATCAATTTACTTATTAACAGAACGTGAAAATGTGGTTTAATCCTTGCTTTTCCATCCACAGATGCGTTTCGATCTATCAGATCTCATCAGTGTGGCTAGGAAAGAAAAGAAAACCAACCCAAATTTAGTGCCTGTAAGCAAAGTAGAACTGACAGAAATAACAATAAGGAATGAACTGCACATCAGAATTGTTTATGTTTTAGTTGATTATCTGTATTTATTATTAATTATTAAGACGCAATGCAAAAACACTGTTAAAACTATAATATTTGAAGCAGCATCAGAAAACGAACACAATAATGCTCAATTTTTGCTATGAATCTTGTCCCTGGCTGACTATAAAATATAAAGAGACAGTCAAATGGAAAAAGTCTTGGACGACAAGTTTATTCGTAACTTTAAACCTTTTAAACTATGCAGTAAACCCTTAACACTGTACCAGACCTTGAAATGGGTTTTTAATCATTCCTAATGCTGGAATATAACAGTATAATATTCATGATTAACGCATACTTTATTAAACATAAAATAACACGTATTCACATTATGTTACCAAGTAACCAATACAATCAGAATGACTCTGAGAGCAATACTTTGGGACAACTGGTGAAGTTCTCACTCCTCGTCTGGCTAGACGGTCATTATGACTAAAAAATCTAGATGTAGCTTCAATAGAAGTTGTCGATGGGTTAGTCCATAACCGCTCAGCAGCTGCAGCAGCTCTTGGCCAAACTCTTGGCTCAACATTACTGTTGTCCACTAGTTCCCCCCACATGCAAACCTGCAAGAATAATTATAGTTGCGTTTTTACCTTTCTCAAAATAAAATGGATGGTTAGTACCTACCTCGCCACCCAAAACAGCTGCATCATTAAGAATCGTATTATCATATACGGTCCTCCAAGTATAGTATTTAGTCGTGCCCCAAAATCCATGATCTAAATACCAACTGTCTTTTGTTGATATTATGAGTTTGTAACCCAAATCCAATAGCTCTTTAGGCAGGGGGTCTGATTTGGATACCCAAGTTTGGATAATGTATCTGAAATATTTTAAAAAAAATCTTCTGAAATAGTGCTTAGTTGACCCCATTGATTAGAAATTCTTTAAATTTTGTTAAGGATTTAAATTTTAAAAAAAAATCAAACATTGACAGTTCGCTTGTTCAGGACATTAAAAATGCGTATAAAAAATGGGATTTTGTCAAATGACACCCCTTTGGACATTAATGTAAATATTCAATGAGAGAATCTCATCAGAAAATAATAAATCGGTGAATAAACTGAAGAAAAGATATAATGTGACGAAAACGCATTAGGCCCATTTCAGGTAGTACCTATAGTCTATAGGGTCCCCAGGGAAACAATATAGGGTATTTACATAAAATAGCTCTCGCTAAGATAATATATGATTTGAAATTAGAAAATGTCAACATACCAATGAAAAAAGGGAAAAATGAAGTCAATAGAATTTGAAATACCGAGGGCAGCAAACAATCCACTTGAGAATCAATAGTGAATAGATATAGAGAATATAGATACCTATACTATGTACATTCCTGAATACCTGGTTGCCAGTAAAGGAATATGCATCCAATCCAGTGTCCAAATGGTATTAAACATAGAGATTCAATCGCAGAGTAACAAATAAACAAGGAGAATTCGAATATACGAAAGCAAGAACGTGTCTATTTACATTCAAAGGAAAAATTTTACCCAGATCCGTGAGCATTCACGAATTAGAGGTCCCAGTAGAGAACTAGGTATCTAATGCCTCTAACGCAATGCTATAATTGTTTATTATATGGATACACTAAAAAGCAATCTCGTGGTAAGAAAAATGTCAAATATGTCGCAAAGCACATGTGGAGCCATGTAACAACTATGGAAGAGCATAGATTTCAAGGAACTGTCCAGAATACAATCGTCAACTACAGATAAGTCTCTAGACAGTATAGGGGATCCGTGAACAAAATTTCTCTCCGCAAAAAGAATAGCCGCGTAACGTTTGGGTGTGTTACAGGTGAATTCCTGACAAAAATTGGGCGTGGCTCCAAATATTTTTTTCACTTGCGGCGCTTTTTTTTTGTCTGCATTTTTTGTTAACACCCCCAAACCAAAATCCTGGATACGCCTATGCCTATGATGCCACACCGACAAAACGGTGTTTCAATTCCTGTTTATTAGTATTGTTGACGCGTGTGAATCCCTACTGCTGTATATTAAAATAAATAAATTGAGCAGGCATTCAGTATCGTATCAGGAAGCAGCATTGATCCGAACGGCTCAACCTAAGGGCCAGTGTAGGTTGACACAATAAAGTTACATGTTCTATATTTATGTTTGTTTACCTGAGAGAAATAGCCGACGAACCCCATTACCCCAACGGCAAGTTGCTAATATAAAAATTTCATACAAACCTTTCTTTTGGTACATATTTTTCAACATGTGATATTTCGGTAAGAGAACTCGTCCACAGAATTGCCGAAGAAGGCTCAGTAGCATCTGCATTAACGGCATCAAATGCACTTAATGCTTTTTCCTGATACTCTGACCATAATTTGTGGAAAGCTTCTGGTGATCTATTGTTGTCAATATAATTTACAATTTCTTGGCTTGAATTCCAACATGGAATATAAACCTAATGAAAACATATTCTATAGTTAAATTGATAAACCATCCAAATTCATACTTCATCTCCGCCCATGTGGAATAAATCCAGCCCATCTGTCCATAAATCAAGAATATCAGCATATATGTTGCCTAATACTTGATATAAATTTGGATTAGCTGGGTTCATTTGACCTGAAATTTGATTATTACGATGTAGGTATTCGGATTTTTGTCAAATTACCATACCACATGGAGGCTGAATACAAAATGACTTATAGGGCAGCTTATTATAACAAACAATTAAATCTCCTAAACCAGCGTCTGCACCCCACTGCCATCCACTCCCAGTATGGGCAGGTCCATCAATTTCTGGAATAATTCGAACTCCGTGAAGCTTGGCGAATTGTAGAAGATCTCTTATTTCATATGGCGAATAAGTTTGAGCTGCGCTATATGCTCCGTAGCTGAAAAGTGTTGATTGATGATTGTGTTAAGTAGTCTTGCCAAATTTTCAAGAACTATCAAATTAAATAAATTACTCCAACTTGGCGTACTGTCATCCAAATTGAGCCTACGTGTATGGGGATCCTGAAAACTATAAAATATACAGAGGCAGTCAAATGGAACAGGTTTTGGACAAGTTTATTTGTAGCTTCAAACTTCAAACTAACTAAACTTTTCGACGACTTTACAGCATGTTTTCCATTATTTTCCAAATCTGTCAAAACATTACACATTAACGATACCACTTTCTGTGTACCTACATTTAAGTTTTACCTAATGCTATATTTTTTTACAACAATTTCGTCATCAGGCTCTATTTCTCTTATGGATGCCTTTTTTGGAATTTTATGCCGGACAGATGTTACGATTGTCAAGGCTTTTTCACTTGTTAGAATAACTAATCATATATTTTAACGGCAAATATTTGTCAAAGTTTTATTGATTATTATTTATTGAAAAACTAAAATACATTATAAAATTATCAAAAAACATCAACAAAAGCAAAATGACACTGAAAATACTATAGGTATGGTGCTGCCATTTACAATCAAAACTTTTACATCTATTCCTTCTAACTCTTAGATGTTTTGAAGGAGTTTGAACTCGCACACTTGAATTTTGACATAACTGATCCGCCATTAGAAACAACCCTATTTTAAAATATTTGCCTTGATATAGAGTTTGAAGCTCTTGAAGATTACGTGCGGGTAACACAAAAGGTTTTGTCGCACCCTTTTTTTTTAAATAATTGTCATACCTTTGTCATAAAGCTTTGGTCTTTTAACCAGTCCACTTTCCTGGCAGACAATCTAAATAAATTAAAATAGAGAATACCAACCTAGTCATGTTGGGAACTCTAGCAGACACAAATGGAAAACTTTGAGAATCACTCATATGCCAGTGGAGTGTGTTTAATTTTGACATGCCCATGGCAATAATATTCTTTTTAATAACCTCTACTGATAAAAAGTTCCTTGCTGAATCCAAAAGTAAGCTGAAAATAACAATGTATTACTTAAAAGCTTAGGAAATATGCTTGAAATGTAACAACGATAAATACCTAGTGTTTTTTATGCGTAGATGATATATTTTTTTCTTCAAACATCAATATTATTTTTTTAACACCGTTTTAAGCTCCTAGTCGACGAAAATATACAAGAAACCAAATTTGTTTGAACAGTCAACAATTTTAAATATTGTCCCTTGCATTCGATTTTTGAAACATATCTGGTAGATTTCGGTGAGCAGATGAAAATGGACAATGGGTCCATCCAGTTGAAACTGATTTACTGATTTGTTGAAGAAAAACAGATAAGATAGATGTAATATAGGGAATCAAACTTCAAGACAATCCTCACAATTTTCATTTAACATGATTCTTTTTTCGTCGTGATTTGAATATACCTATGCCTATACTAACTTAAGTGAATAAGTTTTGTTGCTCACCCTCGATGCTTATATTTTGGTTTATCCTGTATACTAACTTCTTTTAAGGTTACAAAACAAGTTTCATCAGCGGTACTCTCTGTTTCTATTAATTGCAGTAAACTTTCGAAGGCGTGACGTGCCCCAAAAATAGTCACTGCTATAATATTGACTGTGACGGTTTTACTTGATGCTGAAAATTTTAACGGAAATAACATAATTTGAAAATTTGTTTTTCTTAAAATACAAACAATCGGTAGTAATATCCAAAGAGTATTCTTCACTAGTTTTATAATTCAAAATCAAAATCGAATTAGCTACGTTCACATTCAGAATCAGCTTGTACTTGGTTTTTGAACAGTTCTGTTCATCATTTTCGTTGATTACGTCTTTAAAATAATCCACAACATTTCCAAGATATATATTTGCTGAAGTAGTAGGACAGTCTATGCTAAATACTATATTTCTGAAAAGTACAATTATTATTTCTCTTGTATTGTTAGATATCAAATTCATACTTGGCGTCAATATAAACAAGATCTTTATTTTTCGTGGTATAATTTGCCGGCAAAGGCCAAATGTTACCGCGATCTCCACAAACCAATCGACAAACATCTAAACTGTTAAAAAATGTATCGTTTACGTGGGGGTCTCTTCTTTGACAAGAACCTGCTGGAGTGCATTCCCATACCCATCTAGAATATTTAAGTTTGCTACAATTATTGAAATTGATAATACTGGGTATTTACTTACCCTCTAACTGTAGACAATAACAGACAACAGAGCAGAAGTTTGAAGCCTAAAATAACATATTGTTTGTTATATAAACCATACGAAATGCGACATTGTCAAATTCACGTTTTCCCCAACTTAGAGAAATTGTGCACAATCTAGGTCTACCCATCTGGAGAGTCCCCAGAGATGACCCCCTTCAACTACTAAGTTACAAATCCAGAGATAGCCCTGAAACCCGCATTTCGTACCTACTGACTAAGTCTCTTGTGCATTTTTTGGCAACACTGCATGGAGTCCCCAGGGATGACCCCCAAATGCAAGATCTCGACCCAAATAACAGAGATAGCCGTTAAATCCGCCTTTCGTACCTAGTTATTGAACACATTTTTGTGCACAATCTATGAATCTGTCAGTACCGCTTGAAGATCCCCAGAGATAAGTGCTTGTTTTAGTTAATAAATGATTAATCACGAAAGAAAGCCAATGCAAACCTGGGTGGGTATGCCTTTCAAATATGCTATGACTTAACCATCCGGGCAGGAGCCAAATATATAAATATTATATTTTAAAGGTTTTCTAACCCTCATCATAATTCATACCACCATATCCACGGTTTTAAGTTGCTAGCTTTCTTGTTTAATCGTTTATTACTTAACTGAAAACAAAGTTTCTTCAAGATTTTGACAAGCTGTCATTTCAACAGGGGTGGTAGCTGAGACTTTAAACTTGGCATTATTATAAGGGCCCAAATCCCTTCCAAATGATGTATCACTTGACTCCACTTTCCAGTTCAGATTTTTTAGTTACTTACCTACTGGATTCTTTGTGGTTAGGGGGTTGAATGGGGGTAGTCGAATTTTGCATAAAAACTAATTCCCTTCCAAATTGAAGTTGACGTTTTCCGGGGATGATTACTAATATTTTCCGTTTCTGAGATAATAGGAGATAATAGGGGTGGAAAGTTTTCAAATTGAAACCCTGCAGTATTCAGCTTTCAGTGTAAGAATGTTGCTTGTAAAGTTTGAAACAATTTACGTGTATTTTGAATCTGTCCAATCGAATTTGTTTGGTAGCACCTATTGAATAACGAAAAATGGATTTTGCTATTAGTTTTTGAAAGGAAACAAAAAAGTTTCAAGATTTCCACAATTTTATTTATGTGTTGCCGTTTGCCGTAACATTTTCCGACATAAGGTGCCTTCTTCAAAAGGAATAAATAAACTGATAGGTATGCTAAGCTAGAATATATTTATATAGCAGGCATTGCAGGCAACAGGTAACAAATTAGGTACTTAAAGATATGAAAGCGATAAATAACGATAATATGGGGTAAAAATTATGTCAATCATGTATATAAATTTACCAGGGCAAATTTATATACATGATTAACATTACTAATTATGCATTTACTTTTATAAGTATTCGTATTAATAAGGTCGAGGATCAAATTTAGTGCATTTCAATTTGCTCTCCTACTTGATGGTTACTGACGAACCTACATACTTATCATTTTAGTGAAGAACTATAAAAATGTTATACTTGCCTGTATAATTTGTGCACATCTTTGAACAAACGAAAACAAATTTTTAACAACAAATTAATTGATTGGTCCCGACGATTGAACGGCCTACTTCAATACATTTCGGCGTGATTAAAAACGTACCTACCGGTTTTCGGTTTGCTACTATCACTGACAGAAATAGAACGATTTATGTGTTTTTACATATTACAACGATATCGGGTGTCCTAATACTTTATTATTATAAATTTGTTACTTGTTATCTACGCGTTGTTTTTTTAATGCTGGCCAGTTAAGTGCATGTACAGGGTGTATCAGGTTCGAGTAAGTACAGATATTTTAACATAAATATTTGAAAATAAGGCCTATTCCAAGCTAAAACTGTCCTATTTAATTGTTGAGACAGAAAATGAACTAGTAGCAGCATTGGTCTTCTAAAAAAGCCAAAGGAAGAGTACTGTAATACAACCACAAATAGTCTAGAGGTCTTCCTGAAGACTCACTTTCCGGGATCAATGGTAAAAAACTGTCAAAACCAGCGAGGCTCCGAAAGCAAAGGGCGTAATCGTCCCAACGGAAGAAGCCGGAGGCTGGCAAGGAGAATTTTCATATGCAAAACCGAGTGCAAAACAGAATAAAATGGGCGATAGGGGAGCTTTAAGCCGTTCAAATCCCCAGGAAAAAACGGTACCTATCTTCCCAACCCTGCTGCAAAGGGGTCACAAGTCGCAATATTCTTAAGGAACACCTTCAAATATACTATTCAAATCTAGCCTCGCTCTGGGGTTATGTTCCACGAGCCTGGAATCAGGCTGGTGTGACATTCATTCCAAAGGCAGGATAGCGGCCAGAGGATGAACCGAAATCCTATCGACCCATTAGCCTAACATCCTTCCTCCTTAATAACTCTAAATAGAAGACTGCTTCATCCAAAACAATTTGCTTGTCAAGCAAATCCACAACAAGTGCACTCCATTGTCTGGTAGCAGGCATAACTTGAGGCAAAAGTAATCGTTCTTGCTGCTTTTATAGATATAGAGGGTGCCTTTGAGAACACCTCACACCGATCTACCAAAAAAGCTTTTAAGCATAGGCGGGTAGAAGCTCCCACAGAAGCCATGCTTGAACATCGCTCAGTATCGGCCGAACAGTCACTGTCACCATGGTTAAAGGCTGTCTACAAGGAGGTGTCCTTTCACCTCTTATGTGGACACTGTAGTGGCAGACAGCATTATCCTTATCAGACTAAGCAACGTCGCAACAATATAACGAGCTACACCGTCCATTTGGACATGCCGCAATCTCGTGGAAAATACATTCGAGATAAGACCAAAAATGGTATATTGGATATATGAAACGGTTCTCAGACCCATTGTCACCTACGCCTCGCTAGTATGGTGACCAAGGACTGAGCAAGTTACTGCACAGAACAGTCCACACAAAGTAAAAAGGCTAATATGTCTAAGAATAACATGGGGCTATATCAACCTGCCCCACAGCAATCTTAGAGGCACTGCTGAACATGCCTCCTCTTCACCTATAGGTGAAAAAAGATGCAAGAATAGATGCCTATAGGCTTTTCCAGCGAAAAAGATTTATACCTGGTGATCTGATTAGCCACTTACGCGTTCTTTAGGCTATAAAGCTCGAGTACCAAAGTGAACCACCAACAGATCATATGACAACATTACTGGACTTTGACATTCCATAGGAAGTGGTAGTAAATAAACGCCAATCATCGGAAAACACATTACTGTGGTACACCGATGGATCGAAGCGAAGCTAGCGGAAGGAGTCGGTCTCCACACGGCGCGGATGATTTAACCTTAAAGTAGACCCTATTTTAAAACGGTTCACATCATTTTGTTCCCTACAATTCTGCTCTATAAGTATATCAACACCTAAAATTTGTTTATAGATCACAAAAACTTTAATAAACCTGGTGACCGAGTCTATGCTCACATTACATTGGCGTTTACATATTGGTATATTTTGAGATCGTTATTTGATACAGAAGATAAATATCTAGATAAATATATTTTCTTTTAGTTGTTGACTTGTTAATCTAGAAATTATTATATTGTTTGGTTCATTAGGGAACATTCGCTCCCAAAATCTATAAGGCATATTAAAGGTTTACCTACTTTAAATGTTGATGTCTTAGATATAGGTAGGTACTTTTGCATTTAACCAGTAGGTACAGAAACCTTCAGTATTGGATTGTCATGAATTTTAATAAGTTACAAAAACCACTTTACCAGAAATTTTTGGGCTCCGAATAATGAAAGGATTTAGCTAAAATGTGTATTGGTTAATAAATATTATTATTCTGTCTAGTTAAATGATTTTAGATTGAATATATATGTAGGGTTTATTCTAAAACCTATAAATTATCGCCTTTTCCAGTGGCTTTATATTGTGGTATTACTAAACCAAAGAGTGTAGATAACTATTTAAAGGTTTTAAATGGTATATTTATGGAAAATATACATATAGAGGTCAACATTTTTTGTTTTACTTGTGATGCACCAGCACGTGCGTAGGTATATTAAATGTATTGTAGGACACAACGGGTCGTTTGGTTGTGAAAGAAAGGTGTCACCAGAAAGGCACTTATTATAAAAACAGGATGGTTTATACACTTACCAATTCTAGGGACTGGACTCATGAGGATTTTGTAAATCAGTTATTCCCCAAACACCACTTATCTTTAAGTCCATTGTTAACATTGAATAACTTTAATATAGTTAAAGATTTGACTATATGCATTTGTGCTATTTGGGAGTCAGGAAAAAGTTACTGTTTTATTGGTTTGTAAAATGTGATTCAAGAAAAAGTGTTAGACTGCCTGTTCGTTCAAGGGAAAATATGTCCAAGAAACTAAATTATTGTTCTTATTATGTTCCTTCAGAGGTTATTTGAAGACCAAAATCCTTTAATGATTTGCATTGTTTTAAAGCCACCGAATTTAGAATAATTTTACTGTATTTGGGACCAATTATCTTTCGTAATATATTGCACAAAGACATTATTTATGATCATTTTTTGTTATTCCATGCGGCTTTGAGAATTTTGTTGTGTCACAGGTCAGTTGGTACTCCTTGGATAACAAATGCTAATTAACTTTGTTTTGTTGAAAATTCTATACGTATTTATGGACGAGAATCTTGTATTTGCAATATACATAATTCAATTCACTTGGCAGATGATGTACCTAGTGAACTTTAATTGTTCTCTCAATTAAATTAGTTCTTTTTCTTTTTAAAGTTTTTTAGGAAAACTTAAAAGACTTGTAAGAAAACCCAATCAACTTTGCAAACGGTTAACAGAAAATTCTGATATGTTCATCATCTGTCAAGATATGAAACATAATTTTGTTGTAAATGAAAATTTTAAATAGGTATATTCAAACATCTTCCTTCAAGATTAAATATAATTTTTTGATGCGGTTTCTTGACTGACACCCTTAATAAAAACAATTACTCCCAACATTTTTACGAGCCCATTTTAAAGAAAAAAAATCATAAAATCTACAACAATAATGTTAAAGCTAATAAGAATCCCATCAATAAAAATAATAAATATATCTCCTTACCCTATATTCCTGAAGTTTTTAGTAAAACACAAAAATGCTTATAAAGCCTTATGAAATTCAAATTGCTGAAAAACCAAATAATTTTAGTCAAAAATTTTTCACGAAACTTAAACCCTCTATTGAAAAAGACCTGCGCACTAATACCATTTACAAAATCAACTGCCAAGATTGCGATAGCTGCAACATTGGTCAAACCAAGCAATATATCCATAAAAGGATAAAAAATCATAAGAAAACCAGCCGAAAATAATACTGCATTAACACAACACTGCTTCAACAATCTGCATCAATGATTTCGAAATTGTTGAAGTCAAATTGATGCAGTAATGTTAATCATGTATATAAATTTGCCCTGGTAAATTTATATACATGATTGACATAATTTTTACCCCATATTATCGTTATTTATCGCTTTCATATCTTTAAGTACCTAATTTGTTACCTGTTGCCTGCAATGCCTGCTATATAAATATATTCTAGCTTAGCATACCTATCAGTTTATTTATTCCTTTTGAAGAAGGCACCTTATGTCGGAAAATGTTACGGCAAACGGCAACACATAAATAAAATTGTGGAAATCTTGAAACTTTTTTGTTTCCTTTCAAAAACTAACAGCAAAATCCATTTTTCGTTATTCAATAGGTGCTACCAAACAAATTCGATAGGACAGATTCAAAATACTCGTAAATTGTTTCAAACTTTACAAGCAACATTCTTACACTGAAAGCTGAATACTGCAGGGTTTCAATTTGAAAACTTTCCACCCCTATTATCTCCTATTAAAGCCTTATGAAATTCAAATTGCTGAAAAACCAAATAATTTTAGTCAAAAATTTTTCACGAAACTTAAACCCTCTATTGAAAAAGACCTGCGCACTAATACCATTTACAAAATCAGCTGCCAAGATTGCGATAGCTGCAACATTGGTCAAACCAAGCAATATATCCATAAAAGGATAAAAAATCATAAGAAAACCAGCCGAAAATAATACTGCATTAACACAACACTGCTTCAACAATCTGCATCAATTTGACTTCAACAATTTCGAAATCATTGATGACAGAACAGAATCTTTCAAAAAGACTTTTCCAGGAAATATACCAAATTAAAAATAATCAGAATTCCATCAAATTCCGCACTTATCGAGAATTTAAGCAGTATTTATGATAATTTAATATACAAGAGAGTTATAAAGGTTGGTAGTGGTACCACAGTTTTAATAATTATGTATAAACATTTCGCTCATATCTCCTTTTTGCTCTACCCTTTTCTTTTTTGTTTGTTCCAAGTTAAATTTTTTTTCGTTTTTTCTTGTTTTCTCTAAATTTTATGTAACGTAACCACTCATTTGCAGTTTTTTCATCTTCCAAAACAATATCATACCTAATAAATATTTTACGATTTACCTATATTTAATAGGAAGGAATGTACGAACGTCATATAAAAAAAAACACATAGTAAAACCAAGGAATGCATACCAATTTTAATTTGATCTCAATTTCAGTACTACTTTTGACACAGAATAAGCGACAGGCATTTATTTTTTTAAAAAACATGTTTTCAAAATTTTTGTTAGTTGTATAAGTAACTCTGTTTGTCATTTAATGTAACATCGTCTTCGTCATTATACAAAAAAATATTTTAAAAGTTTCAAATTGTAAAAACATCCGTGGTAAGTGCTTTCTTTTTGTGTCTTAAAACGTTTTTTGATTTCCCGTTTTTTTTATATATTTTTAGTTTTTACAATTTTGACTTTGAAACGTAAAAAAAAAAAATTGTTTCATTTTTCAACCTGACTGACTCCCAATAAAACCTTCACTAGTAAATATAATGCCTTTAACCAAAAATGACTGTTACGTGTTTTCAAAAGATAAAAGTCTATTTGAAGTAATTGATTGGGACAATAATAAAAAAGTGTTAATTGGTTATTTCTTAAGTCCACTACAATATTTTTAATCTTATCCAATAAACTCTCAAGAAATTGGAATACATAAATTTCAAAAATTTAATAAAGAAAACAAATTCGAAAGGAAACTTGAAAATATTTTAAGCAAAGCCATGGTATGTAATTGTACAACATACTATGTAGCTATTGAAATTTTGCACCTTGCATGATATTATATTGGAATAAGTATAGATCACTTAGAAGACCCCCCCAGTCTTAATAATTTTTTAAAATTCTTGTGTTGTTCTCCACCGACGAGCAAACCGCTAAAAAGCTTATTGTACAGGGTCATTAAATGAGGACTGAACAGGGGCTTATTTTTGACATTCCCTGTATTTTTGAGAAAATCCAAAATAGCCAATTTGACTTTTTTTTCTGGAGAATGCAAAAATGCTACCAAAAAATTATTTGAACCAAAAACCAAAGAGTTACGCCATGGAAGAACTGTTTTTTAAATGAAATACCCTGTTTTATGTACGATTTTTGGAAAAGTCATATTTTTTTACGTCTATTCTGTTGGACAAAATAGACTTTCAAAAATGCAAATTTTCCAAAAACCATACAAAAAACAGGGTGTTCTATTTAAACCATACAAAAAACAGGGTGTTCTATTTGAAAAACAGTTCATCCATGGCGTAGCTCTTTAATATTTGGTTCAAATGATTTTTTGGTAGCATTCTTGAATTCTCCAGAAAAAAGGTATTCCAATTGGGTATTTTGGATTTTCTCAAAAATACAGGGAATGTCAAAAATAAGCCCCTGTTCAGTCCTCGTTGGATGACCCTGTACTGATGGAAACGTTTGAGAAAAGTTTTTAAATATTGAGTAAGTACCAAAAGTTTACGAAAGTTTGAAAAGTTTTCAAAAGTTTGAAGAAGTTTATAATATTTTTTTAAAGTTTCTGAGAACATCAAATAAAAATTCTAGAAGTTTTGAAAGTTTGGGTGCTTAAAATTTTTAATGTTTTCTTTTTACATTCACTTTCGAGTTCACTTCACATTTAAGTATGTCAACGGAGATTTATCAATTTTTGGAGACCTAGTAAAAAAATATATTGTTTATATCACGTACCTAAATTAGGTTTTTTAGGACTCATTTCAGTGTATCTGTTAACACATTATTACTAGGGGGGCATGCTAGGCTAGCTTTGAATTTTTTTTTTACAAACCTGTTAAGAATGCAATTTTGATCACCCCCCCACAAGAATTAAATTTTGTGTGGAAAACCAAGTCAATGGTTGTTAGATTTTATTGAAAAATGTCAACTAAAGTAATTATATGTATATACAATGCTATCTAAAACTCTCTGCTTCCAATTTATTATTCATTCTAAAAATTTGTTTGCTGAATTATTGCTTTTTATTGCCTTTGGTATAAAAAATATTGTATGATATAAATAACTATTATTTAGGTATTGTAAAAACTGCCATTCCATTTAAAAAATGAAAGCTTTGTCACTTCAGTTTTAAATACCTAATAAGACAACCTCGATGGCAACTTGGGCTCTTGTTGTGTGGACCACTGAGGATCTCATAGATAACATTCCAACATCATGGGCTAATACGACCAGCACGAGGTACAAATACCCAGTGGGCATGAAGAGCCTTCGGATAAAGAAGATGGTTGATTTAAACATGCCGTTGGAGGACAGTTTTGAATGACTTGACGCTAGATATAAAGTCAAGGCAATCACAACATTGCAACATGCAAAAGAATTGTGAAACGCCATATCGAAACTGAAGAATCAGGTGATTCTGATGAGAACGAGCCATTGGCCAAAGGGCAAAGCCTCATCAGAAAAAAGTTCTTTGCCGCAACTAGTCTATCCTCGGCTCCATTCTCTCAAACTTTTTCTCTTAAATCAAAATGTAAGTAAAAACATAATGGATAATAACATAATGTTTTATTTTTACTGGTATTTCTAGCATCAAACAAAGAGAATAGAAGAGAAGTCAGCTTCTCCAGACCACTGCATTCCCCAGGTAATTAATTTTTTTGCTTTATTTTTAAATTTGTTCTAATAACACGATTGTATAAATTGATTTACTTTATTTCTTTTTTAGGTCGCAGTATGCCTACAACGAGGCCTACACCTACAACCTCTAGAAGTGCTGGCGAGCAAATATCAGAATGCAGTTGGCATGGGATCGAAGCAACTTCCAACAGGTAATTTTTGATAAACGATCTATGTTTAAAAACAAAAAGTAAGAAAGAGCGGAGAAGTATACCACTTTTCCTATGAAATTTTGCAAGAAAAAAATTTTAATGTCATTAAAAACTAATGAAATAACAAATTTAAACGTTGTATTTAAAGTTAATTAAAATGAGATAATGAACATTGAAAAAAAATTTGTTACAAAATTTGTTTTTTTTTCATCCTTCATACAAATTGTTACTTTTCCAGCTGCATATTTTTATTTGTGACACTCCATTAACAACATGTAACTTTTTTAGATATGAACTCCCACATTCTATCAGAGCTTCAAGAGATTAGGTTCCACATGGAGGAATCTCAGAAGACCCTGACAAAAATTGAAGCCTTCATGGAAAATTGTGGCAAGAACGATCTGGAGGAACTGATCCCAAACTCAGAAAATCTAGTCCACTCATCGTTTCTAGAGAAGCTTCCGTGCAAAACAAGGGCAGAATTGGACGAAGTGGACTCGATAATAAGTAGAGAATCCAAACTACTAAATCAATTGGTAGGTACATACATTTTGTTTTTTAATGTAAGCACAATTTATAAGTTGTGTTGTGGTAGCATTAGAATGGAAAAAAGGGATTGAAAATTAATTAAAAATGTTTTTAAGTCAACTTCTTGTACTTGGCAGGAGGACCAAACAATCACTGTCGTAGTATTTATGTCTATGATAATATTATGCGGAAAAACAGAAATTAATTTATTATGTGATTTCAAGTATTTTTTTTCCTATATAATATATATTTTTTCTAGTCTGTTCTAGAGTGGGCAACTTTTTCTTTCAGAGTGGGCATTGCCCACTCTGCCCCCCCCCCCCCCCCGAGCTACGGGCCTGCCTCTACTACAAAATGTACTACTACAATCAGGGCCGGATTACGGGGGGGGGGGGCTTTGGGGGCTAAAGCCCCGGGCCTCGAAATGAGGGGGGCCCCAAAACACCACCTCACACGGGGAAAAAATCATGCATAGGGCCCCACAGACTGCGTTTCTGTCTGACGGTTTGGTTCGACGAGCAAATCTGGTCGAGCAAAAACGACGGATCGGAGTTGCACACACACCTTGGTTTAGTTTGGTGAAGATCCGTCATGTTGGAAAGTTTTTATGATTTTTAAGTTAATAATACAAAATACTAAGCTACGCACCATACACCAAACAAAACCGTCGTTTTCAAAATTCTTAGCTCACACACTTCAGATTGGTTGACATTTCGAACATATCCAACGGACAAAATCAGGTGAAGCCAGATATTTGCATCGGTTTTGTGTCGTTTTTGCTCGATCAGATTTGCGCGTACAACAAAACTGTCCAATAAAAACGCAGTATGTGGGCGCAATTTAACAGCGTTAACCACCAGTCATTCTGTAATCATAACTTTTTGGCGTTAATATGCATAATATCAAAAATATTTATATGAAAAAGTTGTAGAGAACTACTATATCTAGCTGATTACATGGCAAAAATTTTAATTTTTATTTTGATTCAAAAAACAAATTTTAGAAATGTTACTAAGTACGGCGATAGTGATGGATAATTCAGAAATATTTATTCAAGAAAAAAAATTTCAAATCAAACATCAGTTTGTCCAAAATTACATTTTTTTAACCTGCAAGGTAAAGTTTTGAGTAACGTTTGAATTTATTTCAGGGACCTAGGGGCCCCTTTTGTGAAAATAGCCCCAGGCCCCAAAAGACCTTAATCCGACCCTGACTACAATAATCATTATATTTACTAACAGAATTTGATACACGTGTTATCATATTTTTGTCTCTTGTACCTTGTATTTGTCATTGTGTTTTCCGCTTAAACGCTTCTTACACGATCTTTGCAAAAGCATTTACCTATGTAGTCCATATTATGATGAATTTTACAGCTTGATGTGGTTAGCTTAGAAGCTCGTATATTATCTCAGCACAAACGTGCCCAGTGTCGGACTGGGGGTCATTTGGCTCACCGGGCAAATGGTGAATTGGCCCACCCAACCCAAACCCCATTCAATAAAAACATTTTGATAATCATTTGTTGAATCTGGTACCTAGTTATGTTATAGGCATAAAAAAAAATAGGTACCTTGGTACTTAAGGCTTACTGCAGATACCTATGCTTATATGTTTTCTTGTTATTAACCAAAAATTAGATCAGTTGTTGGCTGGATGCTGTAGCTTCTAATAATTGTCGTTTTCTCGCGATCTCTCTTTTTTCTGTACCCGTTTTATACTCCTATGGGTGAATGTATTTATTGTAATGCTTATTTTATATTATGTTGATATATTGATGAATGGAATTTTTGCAAATAATCCATAACGACCTTAACCCTGAAAAATGAAAATCAAACATACCTACTTCTCGTTTTTATTCTCATCGGTGACTTCACCGATGAGTTAGCTATCTTTGTTTAGTGAATGGAAAATGACAATGACTGCCATAGAATGGTGGACCCATCGGTAAAATTTGATGAGAATAAAAACGCAGGGTTCCACTTTAAATTTTTCCTAAAAAATCAACGCTGAACTGACAGATTTCAATGTCATTAAACCCCCCTTAATTGGTTGATTTCTAGTTCTGACGAGAGATTTACTGACTATGATATTAGGCCTTTTCGGAAACACTGATCCGATTAACCCGATCACCAGCTGTTTATATTTTATCTTCCTTCAATGAATACGACTGAAAAAAGACAAAGGATATCAGCTGGTGATCCGGTTAATCGGATCAGCATTTAGCATTTCCGAAAAGGCCTACTGTTGGTCAGAGTCATGTGATGTCACTTTTCGCACGCATTTTGAATAGACTTGTTTTATCGGCTGATTCAATGTTTTTTTTTTTCTAATTGAATAACAAATGGTAGATCAAATTATTGTTACATACTTTAATATTGTATTCAGGCATTCTGAAAACCCAATAAAAAAGAAAGGCCCAATTTACATTAGTATACTGTCAAATTTTCAAAAAATTTCTGCAAACAGTTTTTAATATATAGATCGATTTGTTTCCCGGTAGGGGTGGGACACCCTGTATAACTTCCTCTTTTTTACCTTTCCGTTCGCGGACATCTGGTGTATAATAATGAAAAAATAATAACAGCGAGGGAGATGGAGGTCGAGATTTAATTTAAATGATAAAGTTAGAACCAACTAAGACCTGACGTCATTACTGACGAAGAAGGTAAATTCCCTTTCAAGTGAGACAAAAGATCATGCGGCCTTATGCGGATAGGCCATCCTGTAGTAGTAGTGTAAATCATCCTTGGACCTATAGTAAGGTTGCGTGCACATTGGCGAGCGATGAACAGTGCGCGTTGAGCGGCGAGCGTTTAGTTGTGCTAACGCCCGCGTTGTTGTGTTCACATTGAAAAGTTTATTTTATGAGCGTTTTCAGAGTTGTCCTAACTAGCAAGGTGTCTACTTTGATGCTCAAACTGTTATTAGTTGAAAACCCACGTTTAGCTCGATTAATTTTAATTAAAAGTAAATGAAAGAAATGCATCAATTGAATCAAAGTCGTCTAATAATTGGAGAATTCCATCATTTGTATCATGGATTTCGATGCAATCCGTCCAGGTTTTCTGAGTTCCTTCGTATGTCCATCAAAACTTTCGACTACATTTTAGCCAAAGTAGAGAACTGCCGTCGAAATCGAAAGAACTGTACCAATTTCAAGAAACCAATTTACCAGCTGAAAGACTATACGTAACTTAAGGTAAGTAAAAACAAATACCTACAGTCTCTTTCCAAACAGTAGCGACAATTAACCTCTAGCAGCTCTTTTTTGATAACTTCAGTTTTTTTGTAATTTTTGTTTTTATCATTCCATAACACAGTTTTTGAGTAGGATTTTGGGCCTCGGAAATTAATAACTCCCTATCGATAGCATCTTGTTGGAAAGACATATTAAAAGCGTGCCTGCGTGCATCAATTTACATCCCAATCTATTCTATCCGTGTCGCGGTGCCGCTTGCAATTCGATCAAAAACCAAAACAAAGCGGCGCGATGCGATACCGCGCAACGCCAACGCTCACCGCTCATTGCAATGTGCACACTCTAATCTACACTTCACTGTTTGAAACATTTTACGTCGACGCTCATCGCTCACCGCGCATCGCTCGCCGCTCACCACTCACCAATGCGCACGCGCACTAAGGCCATTTAAAATTTTGAGGTTAGAGGGTGGCTGCCGTTGGAGGGGTGGTTCGGGGAGAGCTGAAAAGTCCCTTGTTTTGCTTCCCTCTTCCAACCCTCCAAACGGGCTTCTCTTTTTTTTTTTATCTATTACCGTTTTCAAGATATAGGCCATTGACAGTTTCCGGTGGGACACCCGGTATATAAAAACAAACAAATCAAAACTAAAACCAATGTGAGGATGTGGCTTTTCTCACAAATTCACTACCCTGCCTCTGTATTTCTAAAAATCAACAACGGGTGAGTCAGTTGATTTCAAATTCACTTATATGCGACAGGTGATTTCTACGCGACTTCGGCTTGAACTTTTTCTTTTCAGACAGAGCAGAAGGAAGCTGATATTGATATGATAGATAGTTGATTTTTTATAAGGACGGTGGATTACGCGAAATAACGTATGATTTGATGATCAATGGCGTGGGGAGTGGGATATTTTAATTTATTTTCATAAATATTCGAATGGCCCACCTGTCGAAGACGTGATCTGGCCCACCGGGATTTTGCCCGGTTGCCCGGTGGGCCAGTCCGACACTGAACGTGCCCAAATTCGCTACCACAGGTGTTTTTGAGCAATAATTAAACAGAAACAACTTATTATTCATAATATTTGAAATTTGAAAATTTTATGTTGCAGACCTTAATATCACTTTTATTTATTTCACTTTTTTTTTCAAGCTGTAGGAAAAGGCATCAAACGGTGACAGATGAAGAGATAAAAAAGTCTGTGTCGTTATTTTTGGCGACTGCAAAGTCAAGATTAGGAAAGGATTTGGTTGGAGAGTGAGTGCAGTAAACAGAGTGTTAAGTATTATGTATGACACACTGATCTCAAAAATAAATGGATAAACAAAGAACGCTTCTAATGCTGCTAATTTACGAGGTCAAAATCTAAACAAAAACAACTGACTGGGACAGCTGTGAGCGTGCGCAGTAGATACATGTATTGTGTGTGCACAAAATCTGGCCAATGAAAATGAAGGAATTTCAAAATTTAGAACAGTTGTTCGGAAGATAATCACTGCGCAGGCGTTAGGCTGTTCCGTTGCACAACTGTCTGTAGAATATTGACCCCAAATTTTCGCACAAATTTTGTCAATCAAGCCGTATGAATTGTTTATCCATTTATTTTTTAGATCAGTGGTATGACACGAACTTCAGGAACAGGCACTGCATAGGTAGTTTGTAATTTCTTGTCCATAGATTTAGTAAAGTTCAGAATTGAAGGTATTTCGGTTACCAAAAAAGCAGAATCGCCTCCTAAAGTTTATAAAATACTTATTCTTAACACCCTTTATGTTAGATAGGATTATAATGGGATTTTTTTTATCCCATTCAATTGATGGGTTTAGCTAATTTCAATATTTTATTTTCAGGGAAACAGAAGGCTTGGATGATGACCTAGGAGATGTGCTTGAGTGACGTGGAAAATCCAAATGATGATGTTGCTAATCTTTTTCGTTTTTTTTTTTGGTAATGTCTGTTTGCGAAAATAATATAATGGGTACCTTCATCAGCACTCAACTGTTGCCAACAGTTGAGTAGAGGTCTGTTCACACATAAATTATACAAACTGGTCAGAGCGAATTTTATTAGGTTGAAACTAGTTTCCTGACTGTCCTAAACCAATGAAATTTTCTCTGGCTGATTTGGAATTTATATGCGAATATACCTCTACTCTTTTTTCTCATATTTGTGCAATGTAATGTTTTGAATATTGATTTAATATTTTTTTATTAATATTTGAGTAATATTATATTTGAAATATTGATTTAATATTTTTTGTTAATATTTGAGAAATATAGATAATAATTAAAATATTTATATGATATTTTTTTTTTTGATATTTGAGAAATATTATATTTAAAAAAAATATATTTATTGAATATTTCTTGTTATCTTGGATATTTGTATAATTTTGGGCAACAAACAAATTTCAGGGGTTTCAAACTCTATAATTAGAAGTACTGAAAAGAGTTAGTTAAAATGTGAAATGATCGATAAATATTCTTGGTCTGTCTAGTTAAATGATTTTAGATTGAAGATTTGTATGTCGTATAATTTTGGCAACAAACGAATTCCAGGGGTTTTCAAATTTTTTTAATTAGAGGTACCTATAGAAGGTTTTGAAGTGTCATGAATGATCTTTAAATAACATTGTTCTGTGGAGTAAATGATTTTTAGCTGAAGAATACTGAGGATCTCGGATAATATTTAACTCAATCTAGACAGGATTTTAAGATTTATCAATTAGAAGTATTGGAAGGAGCTGATACTCAAACTAACTCCTTACAACAACCTTCCGAAATTTAATTAATTGGCACAATGTCTCCAATAATCTTAAACTGGTTTTGGAATTATTCTCTGATTGTTGTTTTTGGGCAACGTACCGTAAGCGAGGTGCGAGCGCAGTCCCTCTCGAAAAGGTTTCTTCGAAGAATAGCGAGCACGGAAGCAGAACCAAATATGCCTGTTCCAGAATTTTTTTAAATAAGGGCTGAAGTTTTATTGGAAAAAGCTCCAAACCACCTTCAAAGGATGCCCTAGATATCCCTTCTCCGGAGCGTGTGAAAAGTACTTTTCGCGGAATACTTAGTTGATTTTCTAGGTGGATAAGTAGTGTGTTTTTAATAGCTTTCTAATCCAGTCGTAGAAAAAATCATAATAAAGTTTGTTTTGTCTTGTGGTTGTTCATGTTTACTCTTGAATGTGTACCTAAATCAGGACAGTTTGTTTAAGGTAATTTTGATCAAATACCTATAGAATTTATAAAGTTAATGATTTCAATGTTTAACAATATATCAATAGGTATCGCGATACCCGAGAGCAATTAGATATTGGCAGGAACTTTCGGCCCATGGATGGAAATATCTTGCCTTGAATGCAAGCCTTTTTCGCTCAAACACTTTTATGAAATTGTTTCGATAAACTGTTTTTAACCCATCTTTCACCAACATTATTATAAATACAATTTTATACTGCAACATGTTCAAGGACACTTTTTGTTAAAATCAATTTTGAAAGATAATGGGCTAACATACACACATTAACTCCAAACAATGAAAACGAATACACCCCAAATCAACCCATGCTCAACTAACCCAAACTAGCCCATTCCAGTATCTATACTCAAAATAAGCAACTACCCCAATAGTCCAAGAAACGGGAATCCGAAAAGATGGTTAACCTCAACATAATTAGAAGTTATCATTTTTGTGGGGGGGTCGGTCCATTTTCATGTGCTAAATAACATATTAGGTTTACGACCTTGTATTTCCATAGGGTTTCTAGTTAGGGGTGTTTTTTAAGGGTAATTTGCGGTTTATAGAGAACGCTGCTCAAAGGGATCGATGGTCCAATAGCAAAAAGTTTCAAATGATTGTTGCAGCTGAAGTTTTTTGCTATAAAAAACTCCGCGACAGCACCCCTTTATCTTCTATAGTTTTTTTTTCGGCCGAATGCATAATCCGATTTTAATTGTTCATACACCACATTATTGCTAATGAAATGCACTCTGCTTTTTTGTTCGAATTTTTGGCTTGAAAATTAAGCCAGCACGGACTCGCCTAATGTGCTAGAAAGTTGTAAATTGCATCGAAAACTACCCCTTTCTTGCATTCACTATAATTTCTAAACGGGGCCAAATATTTGGTGACAGTTTTCGACAATCGGCAGCCCATTTATTTCTCTCATAATGCCCCAGCGGAATTTTTTTTGGGTAATTACTCAATGACTTATTCGCCTGAAAAAGTTGCGCGAAATTTTTCAAAAAGTAAAAAATAAATAAAATTGTCGCACAGCGCTGAAATTTGGTCAATGGCTTTTATTTATTGTTCTCATGAATATACTGCAATTTTAATTGCTCCACATGCTGTGCGACAATTTTAATTTTTTTTGACTTTTTGAAAAATTCCGCGTGACGTATTCAGGCGAATAAGTCATTGAGTAATTAACGAAAAAAAAATTTCGCTGGGGCATTATAAGAGGAATAAATGGGCTGCCGATTGTCGAAAACTGTCACCAAATATTTGGCCCCGTTTAGAAATTACAGTGAATGCAAAAAAGGGGTAGTTTTCCATGCAATTTACAACTTTCTAGCACATGAGGCGAATCCGTGCTCGCTTAATTTTCAAGCCAAAAATTCGAACAAAGAGCATTGGAGAGTGCATTTCATTAGCAATAATGTGGTATTTGAATAATTAAAATCGGATTATGCATTCGGCCGCTGCTGCACCAAATGCGCGCTTACAGGCGAAACGCTGATTCAGTGACCTTGAACAAAAACATGCTACTATTCAAGACGCTGCAGAAAAAAAACTATAGAAGATAAAGGGGTGCTGTCGCGGAGTTTTTTACAGCAAAAAACTTCAGCTACATCATTTGAAATTTTTTGCTATTGGACCATCGATCCCTTTGAGCAGCGTTCTCTATAAACCGCAAATTACCCTTAAAAAACACCCCTAACTGAAAACCCTATGGAAGTACAGGGAGTCCAAGATTCGATGGTTTTAGCGGGTTTCGGGTACCACTTGCGACCCTCGATTTTCAAGAGAAGTTGACCGGTGAAATCCGCACCTCGATATCTACATTCGCTTTCAAGCTACAAGGGGAAAAGTTGACCAAATTTTCATAAATAAAAAAGTTATAGCCCCCCTGCCAAACTCCAAACTTTTCAAAAACCCCTCGTAGCATAAAAACGACTCGACATATCGAGATGCGGTTTCCACCAGTCAATTTCTCTTGAAAATCGAGGCTCGCAAGTGGGGGTCAAATTTTTTCCAACTCCTTTAGAAATACCCGAAACCCCCCAAAACCATCGAATCTTGGACACCCTGTACAAGGTCGCAAACTTAATATTTTATTTAGCACATGAAAATGGACCGATCTCCCCCAAAAAAATGTTAACTTCTAATTATGTTGAGGTAAATTTCCTTCATTGCTTGGGCCTAAACACGAAATTGATTTTATTTATTTTTTACAAACTAAGCACCTACATATTTTTGATATTTGTAAATCCTGAATGAAGACGTATTTCCTAGATATGCCTAAAAATTGAAACAACTATTGTGTATTTTCTAAATTTATTAAAAAAAATTGATAAAACCCACATTACTATATAAGCTTTCATCAAGAACGATTTACTTTCAAACTAGCCAGACACCTTAGTAGTTGTATTTTACACAAAGTTTTTTTTGCATGATCCAAAATCCAATATCAACAACAAAACTGATAATCAAGAAGCCTCCATGGCTTGAGTTTATTAAAACAATTTTGTTTGATGCATACCACATCGATCATCGTGAAACACTTGAAATTGATTACGGTACGAATCATTGTCACCATTTTTTGTACAAAAAGATTGGACTCCGGGTCCTAAAAAAATTAATTATGCAATGCATTAATGGAATTTTATAGTCAGGAAGGTGGTTACCCAAAAAAAAAACACTGGTCGTGCAGCATATGATATTTAGGTTGATCAGAAAATGGGAAATAATAAATACCTAAAGCTTCTGCATCTTTGGTTCTGTTTTCGCTAAATGGTAGTCTTAAATAGGAATGTTTGGGTGATGATAACGTCTCTATTATAAGGCCGTCCTAAACCCTAGAGGAAATTATTAAAATTTTCCCTAACAGCATTATTTTATACTAGCAAAATTAGTCAGATCTTATGTTGCCACTACATTTCCAATTTTGGTGAGACATTTTCAGACCGCACCTAAATTATTTAATGTAGGTAACCAACTTCCTAGATTTTGAGCAAAAAATAAGACATAACACATAGGTGCTTATTCTCAATACCTACATCAACACAAAAATCTTGAGGCATTTTTGAAAATTCCAAATTTAGCGGTCCATATTTGCACAATTCTTCTAGAAATAAATATTTTCCTTCTCGTTTTATTCCAATAAGTTGCATAAGGAAATATATACAATTAATTTCAATGGTAAATTGTTCATTAAACTCATCTTCTACAGCAATGCTAAAAAATACTTATTTAAATTCAGAAATACAGTCGATGTCAAACTCTTACACCATATGCAAGTCGATATCATACTCCTTGACATTACAACGAGTACATTTTTGATTATAAATTAGGTTTCTGCACAGGACACAAATGATACGTACACGAACATCAAAAACTGAGAGAAATATAATTTTACCATGTACTATGCAATTAACAGGTACAAAATAATATAAACCAAGATTCATGGGAGGTGTTCGAAATCGCCAGTCCCAAACACTTTTATCTCTGAACGACCTAAAAAAACTCTTATTAAATAGACAAAAACTACAGAAAATGTTTGATATTTTCCCTTTGATAAGCTCTATAACATAGTAAAATTTGGAAAAAATCGACCTATCGCCGAAATCCCATATAAGGTGTGCGAGGTCATTTTATTAAAACTCTATTCAAATAGTTTGTTAAATGTGCTGATAAAAATTCTACATGTACCCATAAAGTTCTAAAATGTAGAATGGTCCAGGAGGCCCTCTCTGCTTAATAGAGTTAATATTTTTGATTATATTTTACAAGTTTCGAGTTTTTGAAGAGTAAAAAAATAAAAATGTAGATTTTTTCTGGAAGACAAATGTTACATCTAAATTGATAAATTACAAGCACAATATATACTAATTAAAGTCTACTCACAAGTTGGCACAATTGAAGAAAAGTTCTGGGTCATAACCAACAATATCAAATCTCGTGAAAACGGTGGTTTTCAAATATTTCTTTTTGTTAACTTGGACATGGTTAACTTTTATTGTCATATTATCAATTAATCCTAACGGACAAATATGGTTTTCTCTATTGCTCAAATATAACTTGATGTAGGATCTTGATGTTTTGTCATAAAACAATAATACTTGTTGGTGATTTTCTAGACAAAAAATATTATATTTATATAGGTACTTAAGCAATAATGTATTTTGTAAATTTTCTAAAAAAGCGGTTTATACCTAAATCTCCAAAGTATTTGCTATTTTTATGTCTTTTTGGGAACCAGGAAGGAAATTTTTTGGCTTGGAACTCTTGCATTGTGAGTTTTAGAATAAAGGAAAATGTTTTATATTCATCACTATTGGCAATCTTCGATTTTATTTCATTAAAAGCTTCCAATGGTTTATCAACTTCTATTAAATGTGATGCTTTGATTTGTTGAAATACCGAATCATGGTTGAACAGCAGCAATTTTTTAGAATTATTCATTCTATGAAGCTCGCGATACATATCAACATTGCCATAGGTTCTAAAAATCAATTAATTAGCTTTTAACTATGTAACAATATCATATATTAGCCAGACAATGATTGATTGGTATACATCTTATATGTTTGGTGTTCTTTCAGAATTGGTACTAGTGTGAGCGTTGTTCCTGATAAAACGCCATTAATCCTTTCAGAGCACCTAAATGATTTTTCAGGACTTATAACAATTTCCATCCAACATTCGGGATTTTTATTGTAACCATAAATAACCTAAAGATTCTACATTAATATTTTAACATTAAATCTAGATGGAAAAGCCTTTACCTCAGATATTTTTATTATTTCTAAAAAATAGGAGTTTTTAAACTCTTTGGTTGGCAGCAGTTCATCACAATTATAGAATAGTTTTTCTCTATTTTCTTGAAAATCATGGTTCACAATAATAACATCCTCCTCATTTACCAACAAATATTGCAATGACTGTTGGTCCACTGTTTGGAAGATTTCAGTGAATACACAGTATTTTGTTATCATAACAAGGGAATTGTGAAATTTATAAACATTTTGATGAAAAACCATAAATTTCACAAATATTTTTGAAGTATCATCCTTCATTTCAAAATATCCATACATTTCAGAAACATATAAGATTCTAAAAAAAATATTCACAAAACAATTAGGTACCTCATTATTGATATAATTGATATTATAATAGGAATTCTCTTCGTGTTATTTGTTTTTTCTGACATGATCAACACCCTAGGGGCAAAAATGTAGAAAGTTATGGTAATATGCAGTGTGCTGTAGGTTGTATTTTTTTTACATGATCGAATAAAGAATCTAATCTAATCCAATCTATTAAACTGGGTGCCGACAAAATTCCTTTTCTTCAATTGAATTCAATTTATTCTAGGTATAAAAAATCATAATACAAATTGTTGTGGCTTCATTTATTTTTATTTTCCCAGCTAATTAAATTTTGGTATATGATTCTCCGGTTAGCAATAATCGATCTGTTTGCTCAAATAAGGATAATTTCTCAACAAGACCAAAGTCTTGGCAAAAAAAGGCATTTATAACCACATGCCAAAATTTAATTAAACCACCGAAGAAATGTAAAAATTTGAGTAACTTTGCTGGCACCTCATTATATAGATACAAATTTAAAACAATTATAATGATCTGTTCAAGAAAAATAAAAAATAGTTAAAATTTAATTCTTTTACCCGAATAAATATTCTCTTGGTCCATCTTCCAGCGTATTATTTATTCCATGCGGATAAACATTGAATGAGTGCACATCATTTATTTTAAAGAATGAATACAGTTCTGAGGTGGAATTCACATATTTCAAATCCTTTGGAGTTTTGGCTATAAGTCTAAAATTCTTCGAAAAAAAAACAACTTTTTGAAAAAAAACATAAAAATATTCATAGAGACGAATTATACCTTGTTACCCTCAGAGCTAGTTCTTCTCGAATTATATCCAAACATTGATTTAATACATAACAGTAACAAATCATCTGTTAAAAATGTTTCTAGTTTTCTTACAATATCTTTATTTATTTCTATCAATTTCTCTTCATTTAGAATAATATTTTTTTCTTCTATAAATTCTAAGAATGTATTTGCATAGTGTAAGGAGGAATTTATCGGAAAATTAATATTAGTTTCTGGGCCTATAACAGCAGTAAATGTAGATGGATCGAAGGTTTTTGTATTAATAATTTCAACTTTATCCTGGAGACAAGGCAAAAAAGCAGAGGCCTTAGAAAATTGGATATAGATTCTAAATTTGTCCACTTCAAAATATAACAAAATTTTGTTTACTCTGGTTACTTTTCCCTGGAGAAAAATAATTACAGATAAGTATTAATATTTTAAAAGGTTGTACCTATATTAAAAATACCTCAATGTTTTTTCCTAATAACATATTTGCCTGATGTGCTTCATAATTTGCAATCATATTTTTCAATTCTGTTAAACTCGTAAGGATTTGTCATTTGCATGGACTCAACTCGCAAGGATTGACAGTCACATTATACTTACATACTTATACCCCTAAGGGAAAGTGTCACTTTTAATAGGCATAGTTGGTTTCGCTATATACGCTATGTATGCAAGTTCAAATTTATTTATGCGAGTCTGTAACTGTGTCTTTGTCGATAATTATTATTGACCGAACTCTTATGGAAAGACATATTTAGACTCTCAGACTAGGAGAACCGAGAGGAGAACTGTTTTTCAGATATATTAAATTCTGAACGCTGCAGACGTATCTGATCCTGTTTGGCTTTAATTTTTTAAATAAATTATTGACGTTTGCTGAGGATAAAACTTTTTACAAGCTTACCCGAGGCTCTTTGCGTGGGCAAATAATAAATATATTGATAGAATAAAATAACTTTGGATCCTATTATGTAGGTATTTAGAAAAAAGTTGAAGATGCACAAGAGTACCACAAGAAAACGAACATCACCACACTGAATATGGGCAAGATTTATGGAGACTTGTGTTCTGTAACGGCCGATCCAGTGTATTTTTTTAAATATTATTTTCAATTTCTGTTTCCTTCAAGGAAGAGTATCAAATTCAAAATCGCAATCTTCTTAAACAAAAGTTTGGTTGTGATTGATTGTTGATTTGCTTTTGCCGGAAGAATGCATTCAGGTCACGTGACTTTGACAAGGTCCGCCATATTAGCTGAGGGGCAGTCAAAGCCTATAGATCATATTGTTTACAGTGTTTTTTGAGTTTGTGCTTCGGAATTTTTGCGTTTTTTGATTTGTTCAATAAATTTTAAGTTGTTTTTAGTTTTTGTGAATGAATGAATCTTTATTTACAGACATGCCACTTTACATTTCAATTCAACAATAGTAAACAAACAATCTTAACAAAAATAATGCTTAAAAATCTAAATTGTTTAAAAAATAAAAAAGTTTGATACTAACAACCTTACAAATAAACTTTAGCAAAATAAATTTGTGGAAGAATGACTCCTCAAAGGTTTTGACTGTTCTGATCGGTGCACAGATCTGGCATGTAGCTTACTGGCTTGTTCATTCTGGGCTTTTATCAATTTTCGTAGTAGATATATCCTAAATTTGTACTGGGGACCCAATCCGGATTGTTTGTATTCTCAAATTCTGCTGGACTACCTAAAAGATATTAAAAGTTACCTACTTGTAGAAACATAAACAAATTTTTTGATATAAGTACCTAGATGATGTGTTTTTGTATTTTAACAACAAGACAGTCATAAAACTTACCATTAACAAAATGTTTCGACCAAATTCGAGCATTTTCAACAACGTTTCAGTCAAATTTCCCCTCTTGAGGCATATAATCCACATACTTTGTTGTTTTTTTGGTGACTCGTTTATGCGATCCCCTCGATCTTTAAATGCTGCTGGAATCCAAAAAAACCTCACTTTATCCCTTTCAGCTCTATTGGAGCACCCAAAAACGTTACAAAACGAAGGCATCTTGACAAAATAATGGTTCAAAAATTCTCGGTTTGCATTGAAAATAGGCCGTGGCTAAAGTAACAGAGCTGTTACTATAATTATTTTTTTAAAGTAACATCAGTTCAATGACGTCACTTATGTTACTTTTAATAGGGGTTATAGTTACAGAAGTGTTTACTCTATAATTATTTTCTTGAAGTAACGTCAATATAGTAGCAATCTATAGAAAAGAAAGGTAGGTACTTTCTTTAGCAATTTAAACTAAGTTAAGGTGATATTCAACAACATAATAAAATTTTATTTTTTATAAACCAAAAATTTGAATCAACATATTGATAATACAAATCTTTTGTGAGAAAAACGGTGTCTCCATATTCCTATTCCTCACATGCCCTTACAAAGGAACGGGAGTGTAGGTATAGTTCTCTCCTGCAGGTGAAATTCGATTGTTTACCTTTTTATGAGTGTGCAAAGTGAAAATTCAGTTTTCCATTTTTAATCATTAGCGGTATAAAATAAGGGCCATCAACTTCAAGCATTTTTTTTCAGCAAATGAAGATAGGTAATTTCTTAATTTGGAGCTAAAACTATGATAATCTACAGCGAAAAAACTTCTGCCTAGGAAGGAAAATAATTTACTTTCCTCCATAGGAAGGCGAAATTACTATTTTCCTACCTGAAAAAAAGATAACAAATTGTCACTTTCTGACAGTCATAAGAAAATGTGTATTTCCTGCCTTGCCTATAATTGTGCCTGTTTTATAAGTATTCTATTCTATTCTTCAAAGTCAAGTCAGGTTATTTTTTATTTATTTCCATTTTTACTCTAAAACGCAAATGCCAAGAACCACGAATATCACCTTTACTTTAAATTGCTAAAGAAAGTAATCCTATCTACATATTGCTATATTGACGTTACTTCATGAAAATAATTAGAGTAACACCTCCGTTACTTTAGCCACGACGGCCTTGAAAATAACACTAAATCAGATTATGTTTGGCTTGTGTCACAGCCTCCTACATTTAACAGTCACTGTACATTTAACAAGCCATGAAGTTAAAAAGGCAACACCGCAATCTTACCGCCAAGTGGTGCTGGTGGTGTTTGTTTGTATAAATATATATTTTTTATTTTATTAATATGAATCACAAAAAATGCATAATTTATTGTACTAAGGGGCCAAAAACAGTAATTCAATGAATAATTTAACTATTTGTGTAAATAAGAACAGTAAATAATTGATTTAAATGAATATATTTCTAGAGTCTAAAGTGTTATGTTTCAGTATGTCTTTTGAAAATCTAACTTTTTCTTTCTTCGGGACTTTTTCGGAAGGCAAGTCCATTCAAATACTTGAGCTGATTTTCGAAAATAAGAGGTACCTGGTACCTACTTTTAAGAGTTGGACGTTTTAGTTTGAACTCTCGAACTACGCCTTTATCCTTGTTTGTTTCAAATCTAATTATTTCGGTTTCTTCAAAATGCTTACAACACACCACAGAATTTTTCGTTATTGTATAATCTCGGGTATAATTATCTTGGTGTATTCCTTTCATCGACATTTTTTGCACTTCAGAATTTTTTTGGAAATAAAAATGTTTGCATTTCTTCAGTTTTTAAGGAACTCCTAATAGTTCGATTTGCACCCAGGAACACAGTAGTTTCATGGCATCTGGAACAAGTTTAAATATCTTAGGTAATATATCGAGACCTATGCTCTTGCAGACAAATATTAATATTGTTTTTATTGTTTTACCTTACCTTACCTTCATTTTTGCTCCTGTACTCATTTGCTAAAAATTAGCAATCAAAGCACAAAGGAACAGGTATCAACTAAATATGGGCAATATATTGGTGTGTTTCTATCCACTGTTTCGTCAATAATGCCCATAAAAATACTAAATTGCAACAATACACAATGAAAGCAATACACAGAAACACATAACCCAATAACAAAATAGCACCATACGCGACGTTGCCGTCATTTCCAACTTCATGGTGCCTCAGCTGAAATGGCGAATCGATTATGACAGCAACCTGGAATGCCTAAGTTTGCTGTTACCACTTGAGGCGTTTTCTCGTGATATAACTGGTTCGACCCCAGATCCGATGGTACAGTGATCCGATGTTCATCTTCCAATGATTTTTTGCACTAATTTTCGGATGCGTACAATATAAATTGAGGAGACGTTCCTTTAGCTAACCACGGTTTATCGGTTCACGTTCCGATTATTTCGTTTGGACGGTTGTTTGGGAATTCTGAAGTCTTTACTAGTTGAATAAAAGTTTTCAAAAATATTTTCTCCTAAACCAATTTAAAATGTAGTTTGCGGTAAATTATCTGAAATTCTAATTTACAAAGGATTGCTTGCAGAGAGACGTGCCGCTACCATAGCTGTTTTCTCGCGGTGAGACTGGTTCGATCCGGTTCAATTAGGTTCGAACTTGTACATTCTTACGTTGAATCAGTGACGTCACATTGGAACCGGACTCATGGCTTGTTCTTTGTTGACATAAGACTGTGGCTCAAACCTAACGATGATACACATTACTACTACAGGATAGCTTATTCTCATAATAGGCCAGGGCAGTTAGCTGAAAAAATGGCCTTTAGGAGAAGTTTTTGCAATCAAGCTGATTTTTTCACAGACGATAGTGCCCATCAATAGCACTCTGTAAGAAAAAGTTACACCTCCTAGGAGGCTTGCTTTTTCCGCCATGATGAATTAAAGATGGCGGCTGGTGCTATTCTTGAAAAAAATCGTAACTTTCTTATTTATTAACCGATTTTCGTCAAGTAAAAAAAAAAAAAAATACCTTTATTTTGGACTAAAGAATGAAATAAAAATTTAAAACCATTTTGACAGATAGTATTTCTGTCAAAAAAAAAAAAATATAGGAAAATAAATTGAATTGGTTTTTTTCAATTTTCTTTGAACCATAGCTGTAAACTTAGACCGTAGGTACTTCTTACCAAAAGAAGCTTAAAAATATGCGTTTTTTTTTCTAATTTTGAAACAGTTTTTGAGTTTGTGATAGGTTAAGTAATTCGCGAGATATAGTCGAAAAGAACTTGAGAATCCAAAAAAATAAACTTATGCAGGATGTGAAAACTCTATTTTTTGTACATACGCGCCTAAAAATAGCCATTTTTTGAACTCATTTCAGTCCGTAAATTTTCATTTTCGTCCTACACCATAAAATGCTCCATTTTCGGCCTAGTTCCTAAAAGTCGTCATAGCAACCTTATCAGTTTGCATGTACCTGTCACACCTGCATAATCAGTTTAAAATTTTTAATGTTGTCACATTCACTTCACATCTTTGAGCTATTACAAAAAAGTATTGTTTGTTTCACGTACCTAAAATATAGGTTTCTTAGGTACCTACTTGTTACAAAAAATACATATCTTAGCTCGATTGACATAAAAAAAGTTGCCTTTGGTTTTAGTTGAATTTTTTTTTCCTACTACCGCGCGTGAAGTACTTACTTTACGCACTGTTCAAAAGGCGTGAAAATAGATTTTACGCACTATTGCGTAAAGTAATTCACAGCAGCAAAAAAGTTTATTATGGGCCAATATTATAAAACTATTTCGACAGATACCTAACTAAAAGTTAACTTCTGAAATTACCATGAGAACTAACGTCATTCGAGAAGTTAACTTTCAGTTATTCTGTTAAAATAGTTTTATAATACCCGCCCTAAACTGCATTAGTTTTTTCACAAAAATACATAATTAATAAATACCCACAAGTATGGAATTTTATATTACAAAAGCCTTTACTGCCCTTTTTCTGCACTGAAAATGTGCTTTTACTTTACACCCTATGAACTAGGTTAGACACTAAGGCGTAAAGTTGTGGTATGTATATCTTTTCAAATGTATGGCTTTATAGGTATTGTCGGTACTAGAATTTTTTTTTGGTATAAAACATAAACATATGTCTGAAGTGAACCTTTTTTCACAAATGTATGAAAAAAGAAGCTTTACACACCTGTTGCATACATTTTTTTTTTTACTACCGACAATATTGTAAGCGGGCGATATGGATCATAACGTTCGATGCCAAAAATTTGAAAAAAATGTACCACAATTTTACGTCCTATAGTCTCTAAAGTAACTTAGTTCACAACCTAAAGTGTGAAATAAAATCACATTTCTAATGCAGAAAAAGGGCAGTGAAGGCTTTTATAATATAAAATTTTATACTTGTGGGTATTTATGCATTTTTGCGCAGAAACTACAATTTAGTAAACTTTCTTGTTGTTGTGAATCACTTTACGCAATAGTGTGTGAAATCTAATCCAACGTTTGGACAGTGCGTAAAGTCAGTACTTCACGCAAGTGACGCAAGGCAGTAGAAAAAAAAATCAACTAAAACCAAAGGCAACTGTTTTTATGTCAATCGAGCTAAGATATGTATTTTTTGTAACAAGTAGGTACCTAAAAAACCTATATTTTAGGTACGTGAAACAAACAATACTTTTTTGTAATAGCTCAAAGATGTGAAGTGAATGTGACAACATTAAAAATTTTAAACTGGATTATGCAGGTATGACAGGTACATGCAAACTGACAAGGTTGCTATGACGACTTTTAGGAACTAGGCCGAAAATGGATCATTTCACGGTGTAGGCTGAAAATGAAAATTTACGGACTGCAATGAGTTCAAAAAATAGCTATTTTTAGGCGCGTATATACAAAAAATAGAGCCATCTTTAATTTATCATGGCGGAAAAAGCAAGCCTCCTAGGAGGTGTAACTTTTTTTTACAGAGTACTATTGATGGATACTATCATCTGTGAAAAAATCAGCTTGATTGCAAAAACTTCTCCTATTTTTGCTAACTGCCCTGGCCTATAAGGCTTGGGTGGAAATTTCGCACCCCCCCCCAAAAAAAATCACCAGTTGTGACGTAGCAGTATGTTATTTCTCGCTTTGACGTAGGCTCTTTAAACAGCTGACGATTTATAGCGAATTCCATTGATAAAATAAGTGCAAAAAAAAATAATATTTTTATCTCTTTCTTGTACAAGCTGGTAGAAAAAGACACGAATACACTCACTGTGCAATAAACGTTCCAATGGAATTTGCTATTAGTTTATGACGTCGGAAATAGTGACACATCAATATGGCGGCGATTACCAAAAACGAGGCCGATAAGCAATCCTGTAGGTGTGTATCATCCTTGGTTCAAACCTTCCATTTTCTCGCGTTCACGAGTGATGACGTCATCTACAAATTGGTTTAAATCGTAGTTCGAACCATTCGCCCCGTGAGAAAACGCGTCATGTGTGCGGTGTCGCTGTGTTCAAAACACATAGGCTGTGTTCTTTTTTCAACTGTCAGTACTGTATTTACTGGGAAGCGTTCCAAAATTAAAATGCAGTGTACTGATTTACTGTAAAAATGACGTATGGCGTCAACAATACGTCACTAATTTATTACTGTGCTTGCTGTATCCGGGAATAAGCTACTGTAATTCAAAAGTGGTAGGGTGTTGATTGTTTTGATACGTTCAAGAACACTAAAAAATTACGTACTAGGTCACCAATACGTCAAATAATAGTACTGTGCTTGCTGTGTCTGGGAAGCTACTGTAATCCAGTAAAAGTGGTGGGTTGTCAATTGTTTTGTTTGGAGGAGAGGAAATTATGCAACAATTATAACTTTAACATTGAATGTTGTATTTTTTTGCACAAGGATAAAAACATTATAATTTATTAGGTGTTATTTTCAATATTTAATTTAAATGGTATTCGATTTCACATTACTTGGTTTATTTCTTTTATTAAATATTGATATTGTAACAACAAAACAAATAGCTATCACTTTATCATGTGTTTTATTTCATACTGCTTTGATAGAAGAGTGCTATAGTAGAGTAGGTAACTTACTTAAATTTAATTTAAGTTAATAGAGCCATAAAAGTAGACAGTTAAATATTAATTCTATTATTTATTATAGCAAATAAAAGTTAAGAAGACAAATAGCACTTTTTTGGCTATTTGCACAGCTATAACTTTTGTTTATTTCTACAAGAGTCACATTCAAAGCTCCAGACTAAAATATCCCTTAAGTTATAGCAGTTTTATCTTGTGATTTATTCCATATTGCTTGTTAAGCTACATTCAGTAGGTAACTTAATTTAAATTGATTGAGCTATACTGGATATTTCTGGATAATGGGATCAAACTTCTAGGAGAAATAGTAGATATATACCCATTAAAATAAATTAAAAATTAATTAATAATTAGAAACATCAGCTGCTTTCGGGTGCCACCCTTTGAGCTCTCCCGAGTTACTCCGAAGTACCTACTCCGACTACAGTTTGACGCGTTCGCAAAACACATGGAGTAACGGGAGTGTTCAGAGCTTCGCTTCGCACTCTGTTATCTAAACACTCTGGGCACTCTGGGGGGATTTATTTGAAATTGATGCAACTTTGCGTACGCGCAAATATGACGCGAATTTCAATCACGAATGAAGTCATTGGCGTGTACGCAAAGATGCATCTTTCAAATAAAGCACATCCCTGGCAATGATCGAACGATTCGAATACGTACGTATGATATCGAACGCGAACAACTGACCGACGATCGACCGATCAACTCCTCCCAATGAACTATAGCTAAAAACCTGGGGTGCGTTCAAAGACGGTAATGCTAATGCCAAAACTTACTTTTCCCCTCCACTGGTAATGCCGAACCACGTAGGTTGGAGCCGAACTCGAACGCAAAATGCCAATTTTGGCTTGGCTGTAGCCATTCCTGAACGCAGCCCTGGAATGCGCACACATTGCCATATCTGCCAAAAAAATGAAGCCATGAAAGACAGATGCCACAAGGGGGAATGTTG